GAGGAGGCGGGGGGGGGGGGGGCGGGGCATGGGAGATGGGCTAGGTGTTAGAACTCTTCCACGTGGGAGACCGGAAAGCGTCCACTCTTTCCGCCGATTTCACCGATCCACCAGGTGGCGGTAGTCTTCTGTAGAATGCTGACGATTTCACCTGTAGAGGAAAATGACATTACCACACGAATTTGTTCATCTGTTGATCTATTCGCCGTTCGTCTGTCCACCCAACTAATTCGTCATCCCCATTTAGTCATACCAGACACCCATCAATCCATTCACATGTCTACTCATCCATTAACTGATTGATGCATTCATCCACCCATCCACGCATCCATCTGTCCACACATCAACCAGCCAATGAACAATGCATTCCAGCATGCATCCATCCACCCACACGTTGACCTTGTCGACCTCCCCATTCATTCATTGGTTCATTCCTCGAGACGTTCTGAATCTCTTCAATAAACCACACCCATCCCTTCATTAGGGATCAAATCACTAGCCGATCGACCCAAACATTAATTCAACATTAATTCTTGGATGTCGGGGGAGTATCCGAAGGCCCCAAGTTCCGATCTCCACGAATACGCTGATGTGAAGTTAATGAAAAGTTTCCAGTCATTTGAACATCCAGCTACCGGTCAGCTTTATCCATCATCCTTTCTCACCCACGATACAAAATGTGGTGACAAATTTAGCGCCAACAAGACGTTCCACCTCTAGACAGCAAGTAACCAAACTCAGCCTTGCCTATCCCCCCCCTCTTTCAGGCTCACTTCTACTTCCTGACGGGCGGAGATATGAACCCGGGGATGGGGGCGAGACAGCACTCCTCCCTGCCCTCTTCGTCTATGCCAACCAAAGTTCTGTTCGAGGTATTCTCACGGGCAGGTTTTGCGAAGTTATGAGGTCGATTTCACTAGTTTTGCATTCTTCCGATGGAGAAGGAGAAGACCAAACAGATGTGTTAGACGTAGTTGTTGATTGGTTAACAGTAAATGAAGAAAGGAGATAAAGGCCCCTTGGGGATGAAGAGAAGTGAAGTATAGTGGGTTTAATGAGTCATTTGGGGACAATCAACCACAAAGCCTCTTCCACATCACCAGTTGGCAAGTCCAAATAGAAACAGTGCAGTGACGAAAAAATTGATGGGCTTCAAGCATCCATTTCGTCCATTAATGTGAGTAACACTTCCCCCTTCCATTTGATGCTATTGATGCGGAGAGTTGGTCTCGACACTATCTCGAACCGTCATTTCGTCAAGGATCTTCCTGAACGTGATCCATCACCAAAATCGCATGGTGATGGCATACAACAAGTCCTTCGAATAGCGATAAACTCATCCGCTCACCCACTGTCCATTCATTCATTCACTTACCTATCCATCGGTACGTCTACTCAGTCATCCAGCAATTCCTTCATTCCCGGTTCACTCATCTAGCTATCTATCTACCTATCTATCCATCCATCCATCCGCCGGTTCGTTCACTTCTCCACCCACTCACTGCATTTACATACTAGACAACAAACCGTGGGGGGAGGGAGGAAGCAAGAGAGCCATTGTTTCAAAACTACTTAATAATGAAGCCACATCCTCATTAATAACACCATCACAACTGGTTCCATTACTTATTCACAATGAAAGGGACGTTATCGTATGATGGGCACGCATTCATTTCCCTAATGATCTGGACGATCATGTGATGCTAAACGATGGGCTAGAAGAGCAAGACGCAAGAGGAAGGACAGAGGTAATAGACTTTCTGGCAAAGCAAATCAATCACCACAACGCGGGGATCCCAACAAAGACGCCTGGTTTGCTAACTACTTGAGAGTTAGTGAGTGTCAACGAGACTCTTCAAGACTTCGAGAAAAATCTATTAGCTGCTCCCAAATGGAAGTGTCCACAAGCCTGATTTGAGAATCTGAAGTATTGTCCAGGAAGGTCAGACCCTAGACCAAAGCACCCATCTACTTCTCCTCAAGATTCAGACAACTATTCAGGTTAGTCCATGTTACCGTTGACTGTTTAATGAACTACGATCTTTTACCCAAATTTAATAGAAGGACTCCTCAAAATTTAGACAGTTTTCAAGGATGAGTAAATCACTAGGCGCCCAGCTTCTGGATAGAGTGATTCCCAATGGCAGTTATTAGTCCGGAAGAGATGCATGAACATTCTTTTTCGAATTGCAGACACGTTCAGAAGACCCTAGCCGAAAATGTCTGAAGTTCTGGCACATAAATCGATCCTTCAAGCTTCTATAGGTATTTAGCAGACCTACCCAAACTTCTGGGCAGCTGGTTCACCCTTATAGACATAGGCAATAATCTAGCTGCTAAGGGGTTTTACTAATGGCTGAGCTACGACTTAAAGTAGATCTGCGATTTCACGAGGGAGATGTTTGAGCTCCTAGTTAAATAAATCGGCAACTCCCCCCCCCCCCCTTCCCTAGATCGAGAGAAGCATTCAAGCGTGCAAAGGAGTCGAGGGACGAAAGATACGGATTTATGAAGCTAATCACCGCGATACTTCCGGTCAACAGCTCCGAACAAATTCACCTTCAGAAGGTAGATAATCGGTCAGATAAATGGAAGCTTGTATCATCGCCCTTGTTTACATTCCTTCAGCAATTAACTGAAAATGCACTGCATCTCAGGAATGCAGAGGAGGCAAGGCGGGAGGGAGAGGAGACGGGCAGAAGGCGATCACTGCGCTGAATCAGACTCATTCGAAATGCCACTGATAAGCCCCTTTAAGTAACCAAAAAATTCCCAAAATAGCAGAAAAACAAACAATTGATATGTTCTTTTAAATTCAAAAATGGCATCGCATTTAAAAAGAACGCCTTTTATGGAGGTACGTAATTGTCCGGACGAACAGAAGACTGTAGGTGTAGACAATGCTCCCACGAAGATCATTTTGGCAGCTAGGAGATTCTACAAGTAGACTAGCCCCTTGAAAATATTTAAAATTCTAGGTATATACGTAGAACCGTTGAGCCAAGACCCATCAACCATTCAACGAAGGGAGGATTTCCAGAAACAAACACCCGAAATTCCCATTGAAAATCAACGTAGATTCAAAGTAAGAGGGGGATACGCAATGCATGTCAACCAATCATACCGCATCGCCTTATATAGCCTTCTAATTCATTCATCCATTCATTCAGATACAGACCGGGGAAGGGGTTGAAGGTAATGGCTGTGCGATAAATAAGAGGCAATTGAAATGCCAGCAATACCTCCATCCACCATCACCAACGCCACCAGCATTGACAACACTAAATGTCAAATTAGTTCGGAGCGAGTGAGGGAGGACGTGAGAGGGAGGAGAGCCAGGCCATGATTCATCAAACGAAAGGTGTGCAGATTGTGCTGGGAAGAACAATGAATTATGCGGTACGACAGGTTTGGGAAATAGAAATAGGCCTCAGAGGTAGATCCATCCCGTCTGATTACTATTTTTTTACCTTTTACCATCATCTCTGTGACCCTGGTGATAGGTTCCTGGATTCCCGGAACCACTGCCGCAGTCTACAGACAGACGAATGTCAAGACCTGAATAGAGAGAGCCATCTTACACACGTGTGTATGCGCGCCTGCAAAACTCAGGAGTGCGTAGCCGAAAAGCCATCAGGATCAACTTACCTCCACTGACTTCCTTGAAGATTGAACAAGGTTCAAAACATTGTAGAAAGGGTTGCTAACAATTCGATGATGTCCAATGCTATTAGGGGCGATTTGGACTCGGAAGGAGGAACAAAGATTATCGGAAACAGACCAATAAATGAAGAGAGCGCACTTGGTCAGCGCAACACCTCACGTTGGTTGATGGTTATAGTGAAAAGTTCCCTCCTGGCAGGCAACTCTAGTCTACTTGAGGTCACATAAATGACTCAGCCACGTGAGATCAGAGCGGCAGTGTTATATGGAGATGAACTGAAAGTGGCTGTGGTGAAAGAAACCACCTTAAAACTTGATTAGCATAGGAGATCTGAGTCCCATGGAGCATCGTTCCACCCTCATTTATATGCTTTCCAGGTAAAACAACTCCTCATTTTTCAGCACCATTTTCCTTCCAAATTAAGGCAAATCAGCTTCAGGAAAAAAACAAATTAACCTCTGAGGTGGTGCCATAGAGCTCTGCCGCTAGGCTTCAAGGTCAGCAGATTCGTGTACCCAACAACTTCTCTAGGGATAATATGATCGCCACATTGGTGGCAGCGCCAAGCAAACATACCTCAAATGAGCAACACTAGTCCTGATCCGCTGGCTAGATACCGAGCCAAAATATCATGGAGGGAAAACATCTACCTCCATATTCATATGATCTAGGACCTCTTCGAACTCGATAATCAATTCCTAGGTAACTAAACAAAAAAAGAAGCAATCACCTTCCAGCAAAGCCAATTCGCCGGATTTTTGAGGCGTATAGTCTGATGTGACCTTAGCCCAACCAATACAATGAAGGCTAGCGAGCGATGGCCACATGTGTAGAGGATTATTTGTTTCCCAGGCTAGTGATGAGGTAGTAATGCCATCAGAAGCAGCTGGAGTAAAAGAAGCAGGATCGCCATTGGACGGCTCAGAACGCCAAGGGGTGACAATTACTGGGCGCTGTTGATGCTTCTGTTGTTTGGTGTTGCGAATTCCCAGGCGGGAGAAGAAAGTAGTCTACAAAAGAGAGGGGAGTAAAGTAAAGGACCTTCCACACCTTAACAGCGCACTCAGTGATCTAAGGATACCTTCTGAACTGTACAAGATGTAATTATTCCATTCAGACGTTAAAACTACTGAATGTGAATTCACGAAAGCTGGAAAAATCAAAAATATTTACTCCTCATACTGAACTATTTAAGAATAGGTTCAAATAGAGTATAAACAGATAGGATCTTTGCATGCTACCAACTAACTACGGTAGTCAAATAACTACAACGAGATTTAAAATTCATTAAGGGGAACCAAATCACACCCCTACAACATTCGTCTTCTTATCCACACGATTCTCCAACTTCAATTTCTCTTCCTCTCCTCCTTTCTCCTTTCCCTCTTCCTGTTCTACCCTATCCACCTTCTCCTTACCCACCAGAGCATCGCCACATCCATTTACACGTTCCAGGGTGATCCTTCGCTTCTCCTGAATCACCACCTGCCAGCTGGGTACCACGCTTGATTGCCCTTCTTCGTTCTCACGTTCCTCCCCCTCATCTTCAGCATCATCGTCCATAAACGCATCAGTATCATCCAACACGGGTGAAAATGCAGGAACCTAAAAGCGAAGACAAACAGTGACTACTCGTTAACAATCATAAGGTGAGCTGATTTAAATGTAGTTGTCAATTGCTTACAGTGGTTGTCGATGGTGCTTTGGGTACGGACTTTGATCGAGATTTCAGCATAGGCCTCGGTTTTGAGTTAGAGACAACAGTTTTAGGTGCTTCTTTTGTCGTTTTCGAGGGCGTCAACTTGCGTTCTGGCTTTCGAGTGGCGATGGCAAAGGGTTGTCTAGTGATTGACGCTTTCGATGCAATTGTTAGCAGTGGTGGTCTAATAGGCTGAGCTGTAGTTTTAGGGAGTGTGCGAAATTTCGATGGGGTTTGAAGCTTTGCGGCTGTTGCATTCTTTTGAACAGAAGGCGTAGTGACCGATTTTGACGTATTTGTAGAGGAAGAAGGTGGGAAGTTTTTGCGTGATACGCTGCCAGCTGACCTCACGGGGAAACGATCAATCTGAAAAAGTGATTCGAAACAACAGACCAAAGAAAGATAAGTACATCGAAGCAATTTTAGATCAAGGTATCCACAAAACAACAAGCACCAAAGCCCACCCTGGATTTCACAGGAGATTTCTTTTGCCCACTCTCGGCCCTCGCCACACTGCCATTGGCCACTACTGGAGGTAGTTTTGAAAGTTCAGTCGCCTCCACCTTTTCCCCTTTCAACTCCTCCTCATCTTCCTCGATCTCAACCTCATCTGCCAAGGAAGAGGAAGCTCCACCAATAGAATCTGAGGCAATAAATAGACTGTCTGCATGCGCCATCCAACTGAATCTCGACATATCATTGGCTATAAGGGGGTTAATCACTTCCAGATCTGAAATTGGAACGTTTTCAAGGTTAACGACCTCAGAACTGACTGGAGGCCATTCTAGGAGGATGGACGGAGGTGTAAGTGGTGCGACAACATCAGCGCGACGATAGGTGGGGGTGGACTCTACAGAGAAGCCAGCCTCGGAGAGACGATTTTGAAGGGAACTAGAGTGGGAGGATGAGTCGGGAGAAAGAAGATGGAATAGGCAAGCGAAACGAGCTCGACAGGCGAGAAGATGGGCAAGGCGGCAGCGGGAGGAGAAGAGACGACGACGGGCCTCGATCAGTGTCGCGTCGTCGGTGAATATGGGCCCGGTGGAGTAGACGTGGACCAGGTTCGTTAGACCTAGAGCGAGGCGAAAAAGGACTAGCTACATAAACGTACAGTACGAGGAATACTACTGAAACCAAATGATAAGTGAGTGCAATCACTGAAAGTTTTTATGGTATTGCCAGCGATAGCGATAGGTAAATTGGTTGCTTAATGGAAAATTGAGTAGCACTAAAGTTTTTACAATAAATATCCAAATAATAAGATGTGAATTAAAAATTGTTAACAAATTTCAAATCGAATAAAGGTCACGTTTTATTCGTGACATTTCCTGCCTAAAAAGTGATAGATAGCATTGCCGCAGTGTCCGTTAATCAGAGGTATTCTCCATTTGTGTGATTCGGTGGTGGAAAAAACTAAGTGTTTAATCCCAATAAAGTGGTATACGTGTTCTGCAGGTACCTGGGACTCGCCACACACACACACACACACATATACATACATACATACATACATACACACACATACACACACACACGCACACACTTGTCTCCACCTCAGGCCATGCGCGGTAAAAATCAAGCGCTCACTTAAGAGCCTTTGCCTACTAGTGGCTAATATACCGACGCACATTCGCCTTTGCGTTCTGCTTCCACAAAGTGCGTGTCGTAGCGGAACGCAATTGTCTTTACGCTTCAATTTTAGTACAAGTGGTCGGGATTACACTTAAACGGCAGATGGGATTAGAGGCAGCACCTAAGTGGACAATCGAAAATGAGGTGGATCTTTCGATTAAATGAAATACTGAGCCAATCCAGGGCGCAGTTGTGCATGGCAATTATTTAAAACAAACAAAGTGGCAAGCTTACAAATCAGACACCTGAAACGAATAAGTGAGTAATAGAATACAATGCGTATCTGATTAATATACTGCCGCAGTTGTCAAGATAATTGCTTTACTGAAATACGAAATAAGTAGCATGTGAGTTTACACTAACACGGGTAGAAGTCAAAAGAAAAGCAAACGCAAGCCGATTCTCTGCTGAATCACGCCTGGAAACATCAAAAAGGCACCATTTCATAGATGAGAGCAGACTATTAAAATTTCAAAAACACAAACCCTTCTAACTGGATGCAATCTGAGAAAACCTCCTAGGTGAAGCAATCAAAGGAGGAAAGCAATCAAAGTAAACAGCAAAACCCAACAGATGACAAAGTTTGCGATACAAAAGTAATTCCCTGACCTAGAGTAACCAATAAATAACTCATACCGAACGCATCCATTGTTCTCTGACTAACAATTAACCCACCTTGTTTCGTTCTTTCCTCTTTTTGACATTCGCGCACAAGAACGTTGAGAACAGACATTATCAGCTGACGTGCAAAAGCAGCCCTTTCAGACCTCCTCGCAGAGTCCGCCAATACTTCGTTGCTGACTGCTAGGAGGGAAAAGCAAATATACTTGCTACTTGTCAAAAATAGTTAGCAATTATTTTATTGGCCTTAGAAGAAATGCGAGTACGGGTATGGAGCAGGAGACTTCAAGTACATCGTGATGCGGTAATGACACGTTCCGCCGCTCATCAGTAAGACAGCTAAATGGTGCGGACATTTCACTAATGGTCACACGCCTTCCAATGACATCCCCGACCAGCAGCCGCTCCCGAGAACGCCTGACTATGAGCGTTATCGTGGAATGGCACAAGACACGGCACGCTCTGTGGCAATGATCCGCACGATCATTTGTGAACATTTGCTACTTAGAGACCTTAGAGGGTGCTGAACATCAAGGCTGAGAAGAGATTCTGGGCTGGCTAAGTCAAACTAATGAATACTTATGTGCATAAGTACCCAATTTTTCCTCCTTGTGATGTGTGCATCCTATTTGCAGAACCAAAAGTGCTCCCTTCACTTGAAAGCCTCTCGGACATAGTTAAGATGGGCGCTGGTCCTCGTTTTCATACTCGATCATGTATCCCAATTTCCGGACATCAAAGCCATGAAATTGTCTACTTATAAAATATTAAGTAGCTATTACACCCAACTTTCGGCAACTCACATTCCGGTTCCTCTTTGGGGAATATGAGAAAGCGTTTCTGCAGCGCTTGTCGAATAGTCTGTCTCTGCATCGCCTTCGAGGATGTGTAAAGGCTGTCCTCCTCCCCAGGAAGACAAAGCAGATTTTGTTGAGTGCTTCCCATTACTGCCAATGGCTGTGTCTTGTCCACTCCATGAAGCACTTTGGAATTGCTAAGTCGGGGGACGGAGAGTGGTGGATGGCTGGTGTAATGAGATGTAGTGTTTAAATCAACGACAGCTCTCCCGTAAAAGGAAAGAAAGTCTTCTTCGACGTTGGCTTTTGCTAAAGTATCCTAAGAGCACAAAAAAGGAAAAGTGGAAAATTTATACAAAATGTAGTAGAGATTGAACGATAAAATTTAATGTTCCAAAGTTCCATCGATCGTGAAGTGCCTTTGCCACCTCTTCGACTTGAAGTCAATTTGAAGAGATAAAAAGAATAGTTATAATTCAGGATGGTATTAGCTCACTTTACCCCGACATTCAACACCTTCAAGGCTACCTGCCCACCTCTGCAACCAATCTACCAGCCTTTCAAACTCAATAAGTAGTTTTAGGATCTAGGATTATTTCTGTAACCAATACCTAGAAAATTCGAAATATTAAACTCTCGTATCATAGAATACGAGATTTCACCCCTGAACTAGTCATGAAATCCCCTGATCTTGAAACCCCAATTTCGAGGTTTAAGGACAAATGCTGGAGGAGAAAGAGAGGCTTAAAACACCTAAAAAGCCTCTAGATCTGGGACCTGAGTACTGAGGAATAATTTAGAATATATAAGAAATCTAGTATTTAGATATTCATAGCTCAAAATTAAGAAAAGCCAAAACACTTATGTTACACCCTTCTCAAAAAACAGAAGTACTAGTTGAATGCGGTTTGGGGACGAAAGCTATGTAGTTTCTTGAAGAGACGCTCCAAGAAAAGTAAAAAATGGCTCTACGCTTCCCAAAAGAATCCCTTCCATCCTTCAAATGCGGGTTACCTAACAGAGTGAGATGAAAAATCCTGTCAACATCACCACCACAAACCAAAATCATAAGGCTTCTTCTTGCACCATCATCCCCGCTCCTGGCCCGACTACTGCCGCTGATGTTGCGATATAGGCGTCGGGGACGAAGGTCAAAGATTACGATTAAAGGATATTCTCACCTTGGTAGCTTGGAAAGCTTTTTCGATAGATTGTATCGATTCCCTGATTGCCGATAGATAGGATTCCAGAGTCTCTTGCATTGTGCGCAGTCGAAGACGTTCAAGATCGAAAAGCTTGGACGAGTTCTACGAGACGGAGGACAGGGAAACAATTAACTTCCTATGCGTAAAATCCAAGTGAACATTATTTTATAGCCAATTTGGACATGTAGAAGCATTGGGTATAACATAGACTTTAAAGCTTATGTAAATATTTTCATAACGAAGGTAATAATTACGAATTATCAAACATACTACAGAACGCAGTCGTAAGCCAGATGCTACTGATATGTATTTAAGTAGCTGGCGGAACGACAAGGCGCTGCTGAGGTGTAAAATCTGACCTGATATAGCGTGGAGTGCCATTCAATTCTAGCCTCTTCACTGGCTAGATTGGATTGATAGAGGTCAAGAACTGCACGCCAAACTGAACGAGCAGCCTAGAGAAAATAAAGGAGGGTTTACTTTGGCGGAAGGCACTTGATGTGGAACACCACCCAACCTTCAATTATACGCTTCCAAGTAAAATCCGTCCCGCTGCCCGGTGAAATTGGATTAAGAGATAATAGATCTCATCGAATTCCACACGAGATGTACACCGTTACGACTGACGAAATCGTGAACCTTCTCCATGTGGTGCAGGTACGTCATCACATCGTATCGTCTTCATGCTAGTCTCACGGGTGAATGAATGAACAGAGGATTTTAAACCATCCAGCCACCACTGTTATTGCAGAAGTGTGTAACAACACTTGGGAGCATCGAAGACGACTTTCCAGACATAACAGTCGCCCGCCATTACTGCATTTTGACAATAATTCAGTAGTTTATCCATACGTCAAATCATCAACCCACCTACCCATTCGGCCGCCTATCAATCCGTCTTAATGAAGTCAATCATCCGTCTACGCATCCATTTATCCGTCCATTCCTTACGGATTCACATACCCGTTCAAAATGCAATGATGTATCCATGGAGCCATTCAGGACAGCTAAAGATATCGGTCTTTGAAATTAACCTTATCGGCGCCACTAGAGGAATTTAAGGTCGTGGAACAGGTCCTCTATTAGTCTATTTAACGCTTACTTCATCCATCCATCAAATTATTCATCCAATTGCAAAGCTATCCGCTTAGCAAACCATTCATCCATCATTCCATCTACCAATCCTGCGTTCATCTCGACTCTGCAACAAACGTCTGAATGTCGGCATCCTAATTCAACATTCATTTAAGATTCCATCTTCGGAGACAAAAAGATTTAAAGTAATTCTTCACATTAATCCCTCCGCCTACGGATACATCCAATTGCCAATCAATCCGTTCATTACACCATCTGCCAAATCGAACATCCAACCAAATTAAAGTCCGCCCATTCATCCACTCATTACAATTCCATCCAGGAACTAAGCATCTACCTAAGAGGACTTGAGATATCGGACGCCGGATAACAGCCACTAGTCAAGAACACACCTTCGCCGGTAACGCAGAATGACGCTCCAAAGTGGACGACATTTCCATGGACGGTTGCGTGGTAGAAAGCGTTGCCACTCGTCGCAATGACGCGCTTTGCATCGCTATCTTAAACGGCGAATTAGTGGAGGAGGAAGTGATGGGGTTGGATGGGTACCGGAGGGTTCGGTTTCGCAACAGCAGAGTGGAGGTACGTCTTGCCGAATCGATTCCACCAACACAATTACCACCGTCCAGGCTGCTACTAGTGTTGTTTTTGGTTGAGAGATTTTGACAGGTTAGACAGTAGGCAGTGAAGGCCTTCTTGCGTGACTTAAACTCCTCACGACGCGCAGTTTGGAGACGTGAAGTGGCAGCATCAACTTCGGAGGAGACCTCGAAGGGAGTTCAAGGAGGAATACATGATTGAGTGGATGGATGGATGAACGAATGAGTGGATGGTTAAACGGATGAGTTCGGATTGTATGCATCCTGGATGAATGCAAATTTGGATAGGTGAATCTGGGAAGAATGAGTAAGTGAGTGGACAAGTGAGAAAGTGGATAAGTTTGATGTAGGTAAATTGATTAAATAAGTGGGAGCAAAATTTGGATAAAATTGGTTTTACCCTTTTAGATAGCCTATATGGAAAATAATTTTTTTTTGAGTTAAAAACGAAAATTGCAAAATGTAGCAAGTTTAAATCTCCAGACTTGGCAATAAGATGATAACCACTTTTTTCGGTAAGGAGAAGCTATTAACTTACAGATGTAAATGATTATATAAGACACTAATCTCTCTCATACGCCAGCATGACCCAAAATGGATGCTTGAGAAGCATCTATAGCAACGCTGTTTCACTTATAGCTCCTCTTCTGACTTAAACTCCTTGAGACAGGTGCTACAGCTGGAATGTCGTTGAGAGGGGATTAGCAATACATGCAGATCCACACTATTCCAAGGCAACTCGTCGACGCGATCCACCATTATGAGGGCCACTGATGGGTTATAGACATGAGCAATCAACAGCCATGAAACGACACCCAAGATTCCATCAAGATGGCTCTAACATCGAAAGATAAGCAGCCTACAATGACTCACAGGCTTCAGATCCCGATCAGCAGCTGTGATGAAGGCCTTTGAGGTCGGAAGCAATTGGGAGACAATCTTCTCGGCAAGATCTTGATGAGCCTTAGCTTCAAACTCCAAATTTTCCATAGTTTGAATCCACCCGTTCGCCACGGAGCTGGAGCATTAGAAAAAATAAAAAGTTTTCCAAACCATCGATAATGGTTTGGTGACTTAAACACGTTTTATCAGGCGCACGCACTACCTGATTAACGACAAATAGTAGCGGATTGTCAAAATAAGTATCCAGATGCGGCGTGAGTAATAGTAACACCTCGGATGGCATTTGGGGGGAAATGCCAACCCGCTTCTCCCATCAAGTGCAAAAGAAGTGAGGCATAATCCTTCATAAAATCACAGCTATTTAATTTATCATAGGTAATAATGTCATTGGCCGGCAAAACCTATTGTTCAGGTCTATCACATAATTTACGAACCTTCCAGTCCACACAAGAGCAAGAGGGATTGGCTTGCACTCTTAGCTCGTATACACATCTTCGACCTAAAATACCCACTGTGAAAAGGTCACACCCTCCCCTCCAGTGCAATTTGCGTGCAAGTATCGCAATCCATCCTCACATACCAGAAAGTGGCAGCTGACTACAATCACTAAACCGCTAAAAGGGTAGCCTGCTTGTTAGGCTGAAGCAGCTACGTGACACGGCAGATTGCTACTGCACCTTGTTCTCCTCCTGCCGTCATTTGCTATTTTTCAGCCCATTTTTACCTAACAAGTTGTTTTTATTGTTCACGAAAATGACGGAGAATCATGTAGCACCGAGTTAAATGTCTGACAGAGGAGTGGAAACTTACCACTACGGTCCCATTACCAGTTAGCCCAATTTACGGAAAGTCCACCTTTGGCGTCTTGTCACCGTAAGCATTTAGCAAATGGGCTGTCAAACGCACCACCTATTTGCTGCATCAGTGTTCTACAGGGTGGAGGTCGATTCAATCGCTGCTCTTTTAGTGCAAGATTTCTCGATCTAGGAAACGACATCTTGTGGGCTTACCCGGGGTAGTCAGTACCAGACAGTCTAATAAACATATAACTAATGCTATGGGCGAAACATGTCTAGAAATCGGAGATTTGACGTCTTGAGCATCATCCACAGCTCAGCTCTATGATCCTGGAGACAAATCTCCTCGCCGTTCCCAAAGGCAATTCACCTGCCAGAGGAGGCATGAGGAAAATCATACAAGATGAAACAAGGCAGCCTTCTGCTGTGTTATCCTGTTTTTCTGTCGCGCATGAGTGAGTGGGTGAATAGATAAAAGATCCATGCTTTCATCGACCAAGGACTTACAACAGAAGCAGCAACTTGATAACATCATATTTTAGAGGGCAATCTGAATTATTTGTGATGACTGTAAGTCCATGGGCGAGTAAAATGACGGTTGGTCGAGGTATCATCTCTTATGGTATACCACGTACTTGATGTCACGTAACTGGGGAGAAGAAAAGTGGCTGTTTTTAAAAATTTCCCTTGTTCACTCAATTATCGTGTAAGTGCATCATAACTGTGATTTCAAAATTAGATTTCGACTTTATTCAGAGATCATTTGAATTATTCCAAACTAACTTTAGAGAAAAGAATCACCGAGAGACCGTGTTACTTTGCAATTTCAAATTTTTCCTTATGACAGGCCATAATGCAGCTGTGGAGATGGCAGTGAAAACCAAGAGTGGCCCATGACTGGGCGGTAACTTGGTAGGTGGATTGAGGAAGAAATTGCATTCTCATCTGGCAGACGATTTTGACTCAACCTTGATTACGCAGATGAACTAGCTAGTCATAGACTACACTAAGACCAAAGCAGTGGTGAATAGCGTGAATGAGGTAAAAGCAGCTGTATAGTGAAATGAACTGACAGATACAGCGATTTATCAACCCACTTTAAGACACAACGCCAAACGTGGTGTTGACGGAAGGGAAGGATAAAATTGTCCACGCGAGGTTTGACAAAGTTGAGATTGTGCAACGAATTTAGTTGCGACCACAAATAGAACAACTGTGTAGGGCACCTGAACTGAGACCAAGAAGGTTGATAGTAATGGAACGAACCAAAGGCGAAGGTACAGCCATATAGTTACAATAATATTGAGCCATTTGATACAAATTAGTAAACCAGTAAAGAAGCCGCATCGGAGAAGAATGGCTAAATTAAACCGACCATAGGGTGAAATACGAGTTAATGAAGAACGCAAACAAACGCTTATCCCAAACGACACTGCTTATAAGAGCATCAAACGGAAAGATCCACCAAAAGAAAGATAGAGCCAGCAGCCAAAAAAACAGTAACGAGGATTGGAGAAGATTACCCAAGTTGTTAGGCCATACAGATTCCGAGATAAAATTATTCAAAAGAAATTGATTGTTAAAAGGCATTGTACAAACCCTGACAAGCCAACGGCGGACTTGGAAAGACGAGAATGCAGTTTTGAGAGTCCTTTGGCGTAGTCATTCTCCAGCTGGACCCTTTAGTGGCAAAGAATGAAGGTATTGCTATACATGGGGATGCGTGGGTATGTGTATGTGGTGTGGATTCACCTACTATGACAACGGCGAAAAGCCACAGATGGGAGAATTCGATGTTATAGGATAAGTAATGCATATTACTGTCCAATGACCTTAAGGCTAATCAAGTAAATGCCTTAGTGATTAGCTAAACATGCAATGGTTTACAAAATCTTTCTTTAACTGAATAAGAAACAAAGGTGGGTTAGTAAAACCTCCGAGAAAATTTGGCTTTTGGAGAGGTTCGTGCATAACTTATTTGAGCAGCTTTACAGGATGAAAACAGTAGATAGAAATACTGACCTCTCCTGCAGGATGCTAATCAGGACACGTGTGAATTGACAAGAAGATTTGAATTCCTTCTGGAGAATATCGAATCCGGTTCGATCCTTTTGTAATGAGATTAAGATACAAGCAATAAACGGAAAATTTAGGGCTCAATGTTCGCATAAATGTTTGTGCTAATATAAGATAGAAATAGTTATAAGAAGCAATTAAAAAGGGTAAGGTGAAGTCCTAGAAAATGTGGATTGTATAAACCCAAAATAATTTGAGTTTTGCTAGCACGTTGTGCAAGAAATGAACTAGAAGCAACTGCCATCAAATATAGATATAACTCATGGTTTTCACCATAAGTATAAAGGGTTCGGAAAGTCATATCCTCAATTAAATCGCGACTAGTGTATAAAAAAAACAGATAATAGGAATATATAAAAGTTAATAGCAGGCGCGCAACCGGCTGGACGCGACGACACTTTTATAAAACAGCACGAAATTACCATAAAGCTATGCGACTCGAGCGAAACGCATTGTCTATGACGGCACTTTCTAAAACGGCAGTAGGCGAAATAGGCAGTGCCCAGCACAATAAATAAACCAAGTCTTTAACAAAAGAAGGTTGAAATCTAGCAATAGAGGTGGAAGTAAGATACATAATATGTAACGACAAGATAAAAAGGTGGGGAGCACCATTAATGGATAACCAAAATTCGCATATTCCACTTGCAATGACCTAAACTCAACGTTAAAAAATAGGTGCGTGTTTATTTTTGAGTAAATTTCGCACGACAACTTAAAATGACCCCATAACAAGCAATAAACTAAGAGCAATAATTATGTGCAATGCATGGATAGCCTCTATTTCGCGTACAAAGACACATGTTCTCTTGTTCCCGTTGGAGAGCATTGCAAAAGTGCCCCCGAACGCATCGCACTAACCCATACAGCTTATTAAGCTATTTGAATATGGTGCAAGCGAAATTTGGATCCGAAAAGAAACGAGGTAAATAGTAACCCGCTTCCTTGTATTTATCGATGCGGGTTATTGCTAAGAAATGAAGGACCAAATTACGCAAAAATTCACTTTAAGTTCCAAAAAGTAATGATTATATAGGTGCAAATTTTGTGAATTTCACTGCTTAAAATTCAACATCTAATTTGCTAACACTTTAATTGGGCCTAAAGCTTTTAAATAACATCTTAGCTTGTGATACACAAACATCTAACAAGTGTTTCGTTTGGCTTGTTTCATAATTTTAATATGACATTTACGAATTTGTGGCTATTTGTTAAAGGGCTTCTGATGTGCATAATGCATTTTTCTTTCATTAACTCTTCGCTATTCAATGTCGTGGGAATTAGCTGCTGTACGTTTACAGGACTAAAGCACCTACACGACTTTCTGATTCCCCTTACTGCTTGCATCTTTTTACGGCCTACCCTTCTTTTCTCATTGGTCTGCTTATTCTTGCGTTACACAATATAGTGTGTAAGGACAATGAACTCATGGGTTCCTAAGTATTCTCAACAGACTCTTGAGAAGAATTTATCAAAAGCTAAATGTGATGTAAATGGCTCCATCTACCAGAGTTATCACCTTATACCTGTAGGTGCATCGCGCAACTTTCATGTATCTCTTTTCCGAGATAGTTAAGTACGCTATGCAAACATCCAAAAATCTAGATGACGCGCAGTCAAAGTTAGTTTTCGCTAGTTTCATTGTTTTTATTATAAGTTTACCCAATGATGTATAATGGAGAATTTGTGCATTCAAGGCTTGCTTCCTTCGGGGCGCCAATTGGAAGGCAGATGCTAGATCTCGTTTTTTTACGTGAACGACTGCAAAAGCGAGAAATTCGTCTTTTGAACTTTCTTGTCTTTCTCAAAAGTACATTCTGGCGCTGCATTTTCGGCAAAGAGGCTGATGACTTGGAACGTGATGGTTTGGACGAGCACACATGTACGCCCTCATTTTACTTGCTCATTTCGGTGGTTTCGTTATTTGCAGATTACATGATTGAACGTGAGCCTGTGGTTAACAAATTCACGCGTTTCACTTATGACCACTCGGAGTCTGAACGGAAAATTGGTTTGTCAGATTTCACCATTTTGTGTTTTTTATTGGCGTTTTTCTTACTGCTTCGTTATCCCGCTTCAACTTCTTATAAAACGCCTAGCCTTTGTGTTGCTAATAACACACGGAAACGCATGCATCCATGCTTGTTTAAAGGTGTTATTCAGATTCTGTTTTCCTCTGCAGTCCCATTAAACCTTGCTGCATTTAACTGTGGAATCATCGAATCGGCGCTGATTTGTGCTGGATTTGTGAGTTTGCGAGGATTTAGCCTGATTTAAGTCTTCTTACATTGATAAGGGTTTATTTTAAAATTGGAGTTTTGGTACCGTTACGGCTAAATAGTCGCTTCATCTACCCATGCTTGAATCTCTGTCAATTCATCCATCGCGGTCCATCCGTCCATCTCATTCACCCATCCGGCATCCACTCATTCTCCCACCTCTTTATCCTTCATTTTATCATTTCATTCATCCACCAACCTCTCTCTCCATTCTGAACAAGGCCATCCCTGTAGCCACCCGTTTTTTTCTGACTCATGAGTAGTTTGGAATGGATGAACGTGTTCGCTCGTCCCTACTGCAGTTGCTCTCAGGTTATCCACTCTATTAACAGTTTCTGATCTGCATCCACCCATTCTTCTGTCAACTATGTATTAACTCCTTCGTCCATTTCTTCATCCACTCCGGTTCCATCAATTCACTTTGAATCCTTACACCTATCCATTGCTCCATGCATCCTGTTCACCATTCGGAACTTACGCGCAGTTTTTGAAGGCTGATGTATCTGTTTTCTCCCACGCAAACTAACTTGTGTATTGTCGTAGCTTGACCGCTTGAGCTATTCCTTCATTCACATATCTATTCATCATTGTCATTTTTTAGAACTGTGTGTGGTCTGAGACGAATAGGTTCTTTCACTTCCCTCCACTTAATTTGCTAAGTCTTCTCACGCGGTCGTCCTGTCTTATCGTTTGATGCTTCCTTTCGCACGGGTTCACCCGCATTATGCATCGTCAGAATGCATCCATTCCTTGTCCATCCCTCAAAGCTTCTCAGTTTCATGCGTCCCGGGCCTATTCATGCATCTCTTCATCCATCCATTTTTATATTCACGCGTCCATCTTTCCATTCATCCCATCAACCATCCGGAGTCTATACATTATTACTATTGCACTGGATCCATCCACTTTTCCATCCATTCACCAATTTGTCAATGTATTTTTCCCACTTTTCATTTGTCCACCCTTGATTTGTCTGCATTAGTTTATTCACGTATAAGTTATCTGTTCATTTCATACCTCCTGACGCACTCATCTCCGTCCTTTCAGGCCTTTGCCTGTTTTCTTTCTCCACAGCTGCTTTCGATTCATTCACTACACTAGGGTCAGCTTTGGTCCGTCTCCAGCGTGGCACGTTGTCACTTTATGATCGAGGCTGGGCTAAATTCACCACTCCGAGAGGAAATTTCTACGCTTTTGACCACTTGTCAGTCGGCTGGAAGTCAGATTCAGGAAAGGCTCAATTAATTTACAATTTTTTTATGAATTATCCCAATCCAGAATTCTCATTTTTCCAGTAAGTAAAACAGTTGGAATGATATGTTATTGCAGTACTCAATGGTATCGTAGTTTTGTCCTTATCCCTTCATTCGTTAATCTTGAATTCATCTGCTTTTTCGTCATTTCATTTAATCCCGAATTCATCCATTCTTCAATCTACTGTGGTTTAATTCATCTTCCTCTCCGTCTATCTTATCAAAGCATTCAGTTTCTTCGAATTGATTGGTAGATAAGTGAATGGTCAGATGGGTGGATGTGTTGACCGTAAAGTGAATGGAGAGATGTGTCCCATGATGAATGGATGATTGGATGCGAGATGGACGGACTCTTCAGCCTATTGCCGCTCGAATAAAGTGTACATTTCGTAATAGCCAGATGACAACTATCTCCCCCTCTTTATCTCTTCCCTCTCAATCTAGCCCTGCGAAGTCGCGATAACTTGGCACAAGGGCACAACCTACGTAATCAAATTCCACGACAGTGTCATCGCGCGTGAACAGGGTTTGGACTCGCGATGATGGTCGTTAGCCAGGAGACATAATAAATAAAACAAAACAATGGCCTATTCTTCCTGTGATACTTTGTGTAATTTCCTCCCAAGACTGCTTTTTTATTTCAACTGAGCTACAAGAAGGAGAAAAAGATGACGGTGGGTACCTTGATTACCAAGGTATTCCGAAGTATGGAACAGGCCACGATTGTGGATTTTAGGAAGCGGTTGGTTTGCAAACTGTCATCAATCATGCCATGGGAAAGGTGACCTTTTGTGAGTCACTTGAAGTAAATCAGCCCTCTTTAAATAAGGTGAATTTACTGAAAGAGAAGGTAAAGAACGCGGTGAAATGAAGTGGGAGCAGCAATATTTAGGAAGGTACCTTGTATTAATCACGAGGGGCTTGTGTGCCACGCAGGAATTAAGGTCTGTGGGTTCTTGATTCGCTGCTTATTCGAGCAAGAATTTTAGGCTCGGTGTAGCTGCTCTACTTTTATTGTCTAACGTGTAAACCTGACTAGATTTCAACCTGTGTGCCTAGGTTGTAGTGGTATGGTGCTTTGGGCCTTCTCGGAGGTCGTGATGGGTAATGCCAATGCGAAAAAGGGCTCACTGACGCGTTCAGCGATTGGGGGCTGTTGATCGCAGTTACTCGAGCATCAAGGTAGAGCATATGAAAAAACAGTGGGGAGACTCCTGTCTCTGGGTTAGACTCGATGATCCCCCTTTTGCTGATTGAATACTACACATGAAGTGCCGTGGAAGAGGAACACATCTTGAATAGCTGAATCTCCTATTGTATGTGCTTAGAGATTTGGCACCTGCCCCATCTCCATTTAGGCGAATGAGTGGGGGTATGAGGCACCGGTTTATTCCACGAGAAGCTGAGAATAACCTAGGTGAGCGCCTGGCTAGCACTCAGGTGGTGGGAAAATCAAAAAAGACGAATGAGTGCCGATGACAACAGAAGACATGACCAATCGAATCTGTCGAGATTTACTTTACGTTTTGAAGTCATTGGAGTAGCATATTCAGCTACGTGAGACCTTCCAGTCCACCATGAAGTAGGCCTCCACAGCGACGGTGCAGAAATCTATCACTAGTCTCCGTTACAGTAAGAATAAATCCGGTTCCAGAGCAGATTGCCATGTCTTATGGGGGTTCAGGGGTTAACCTGAGCTCCACAAGCATAACGTTCTGGGGTTCCTCCAGTTAAACAAACAAATGGGCAGGCATCCACTTCCCCCAAATCAGTGTTTTCAGTCCAAGTAAGGCATATTTTGCCCTTGTCAGGGTGCAAATTTACCGTATATCAAGCTTGCATGCCACTAATACATCTGACCCTTCTTGCAATACAGATTCGCGCGATTCCGCTCAAATTTTGAAATACTGAAAAACAACTTAACTATAAGGCTTATTTCAGGTAAAGGGAAGGAGGGGTCATCAGATCAGATATAGGCTTTTAAGTCAATGGCTTTGGATCTGTACCCTAAGGGGTACATGTGCTCTGTTATGCATTGTCCGGAATAGCTGACCCACAGATCCTCTTTGGGGCAGTCCCATCTACATCAGTATGCAGTGATGATTCAGGTCTGTGAACGAGGCAGTGGTACAAGAAGCCTAGCACACCTACTCCCAACCACAGAAGGCTCCTAGTTCAGTTTGTACAGTTGATGGCAGCCATGTGATTGCGCGCGTCAGTGACGATGTTGGTCCTGGTGCCTCCTTTCCGAGGCCACAGCCTCATCAGTCGTCAGCTCTGTTTGCATTCAGCTACTTGTTGACCCATCACCCATGGTGTGAAGGAATTGCACAAGACATAAATCATTCTGTGCGAGAGTGGTGAACACAGTCTAGTCATTCACCAAAGCTGCTTTCCGAGCATCAGCTAAAAGCCGTGCTAGGTGATAGAAGAGGAGCAGGAGACTAAACAAAGAAAGGCATTGTGTTATCCTACGTCCCAGTTCGGCTTGAATGCTCATCGTCAATTTGTGCCGAATGAGAATTAGTCACGCCACTATTGTAGCGCCTTTTAATTTACAAGGCACGGCTAAACATACCTTCTGGAATGACGAGGTAGCGTATTGACGTCACACGCCAACACCGAAGAAGTAGCGGACAGGGCTGGCTAATGATTGGATGATTCACAGGCTGGCCGATCCAGTAGTAGTTTGCTATTCCACTGCATTTATCACTCAAGGTGTACTTGATACTTCTCACTTCACTAAGTCCTAGTCTCTAGTAGGAAATAAGGGGATTTATTGCAACTAAACAATGCATCTTATTATCAGGGAGGATTACGCGAGACTTGCATCCTGTAGTGATCGGCTTTGCTCCAGTTCCACGCCATGTGCCCATGTTTCTTTCCTAGTCTTGGATTAGCCTGTGGAGTAGTCACCTTGGCCACTCTGAGTGTCGGTCTTGTGATGTCTTCAAGTTGAAACCCAAGTGACATTCACCCCTTCCAAAATAATCTGACCAACTTAAGTGATTATCCAAAGAAGGCTTGTATCGAAATGGATCGGCTGGAATCTTTAAATAAAGTGGCCGGATCTGCGAAGACTTGCAACTGAAGAACGTACAATAAAATGATGTTTCCATGCTTGATTAGTTGACCCGCCAAACTCTACCATTTCCTCGGATTCTATCGGTATCTTGACCATAGCCTCCCAGCTCCTCCGTATTGGTAACGTCTCCAGACCGTTTACTCCACCGACTGGCTACCATGGTCAAAAGGGCAGCCTTATAGATGGCTCAATCGATGACGCTTCACAGCAGAAACATCGAGAACACGATGTCGATGTTTACTAACCGAGAGTTGAACATAAGTAGTCAATAGTATTTATGAAATAAAAAGAAGTGATTTGCAAGTGAAGTCACAAAACTCTCGTACTCCGAGGTCATGTGCTCTTAACTTCTTATACCTAAGGGTTGATTTGAAGGTCGAAATCACGTAAAGCCCACTGGCAACACGAGTCAGTTGATTGATTAGTCAGGCTTTTCCTGATTTTAGTTATTTGTGGCATAATGGCGTTTTCTCCTTTAAGTGAGTCGGATATCGCATAAAAGATGCAACATAATCCCAGGTAAAACACTTATAGAAGTTGTGCACGCAATCTGATTTACCTCAGTTGGATATTATTTCAGTTGAACGGCCACCAAGAGTTGGTGAGTTGGGAGTTTATCCAATTAAAAGGATCAGTAATTCGAGTCTCGCTGTTTAGAGAAGGAAGTAAGATTAAGATGGTATGATTTAATAGTATTGGATTTGAGAAGCTGTAATTATAAATCACCTCCTGACAACAAAATTGCACTAGTTAATAACTCCAATATGATGGGACTTTACATGTTGAACAATTTTTCGTGTCGTGGTCATTTTTTTTTCTTTTCTTTGAATTGAAGTGCAGCAACATAAGCTCTTCATTTCCAATGGTTTGCACTTCCAACTGGCCATGTGGTACTACGTCTTTTGACGAGCTTAGGAGAGATTAAATGATGCATTGGAGTAGACACAACCTGTCTTCTGATTGAGTAGATTGCCTACTGACCAAATGAAAGTGAACGAGAAATAACAGTACGGCCTGGTGTCGGTAGGAGCCATAGTAGAAGGGCTGAAAAGCATTGCCAGTGTGCAGGAGGACTGAGAGGCTACTGGTATGGCCCAGAGGTAGCACCACCAAGCCGAAATAGGATGGCGGAGTCTTGAGTGTATCAAAAAAGGAAGTAAAATAATCTAGAATATTATTTGTACAGTGATTTCCACACAGTAAATTTTCTCCATAGATTGGCTGAAATGCGATTCGACAAATCAGATTTCAACACGATATGAGCACGCCTTTTGAAGGGCTCAAATTAGAAAAGAGGTATTAATCGGAGTTACGCCTGTGGTATAATTGAAGAAGATTAACAATTTTGAAAAAATCCACCTTATTTCCAAATAAGCGCTACCTTGAATAACCTTCGTGCGTGACAGCATCGTGAACAAAGTTATCCCTTACCTTGACAGCTTTACTCAACGGTTAAGTTACCTGTCCAAAAAAGCCCACAACCATGATTATTTACAAGGCCTCAAAGTTTAGGATTTGACACCACGACTAGTCTGTGACATTCCACGTGATCGCCTCAAGTCCAACCCTCAATTTGCTACTGGTACATCGTAGGGCTGTGCAGCTAAAGGGGGGGTCAGAAGACCACGGCACCGTGGAGACAGAAGAGCCTGTCTGAGCAGATACCCGGTTTATCAGCTCGCCGTACATTTTCATCGTGTGAGCATGGTCTCTTCACTGTCTCGGCCCTAATGAGCTCTTGCGTTGAATGCAACCGACGCGAGACAGGACCGAGGATGGTATGATGAGTTTGCATGGGGGGGGGGTAGATCTGGTTAAGATGCGCAAATATAGCGTTTAAGACAAGGTGACATGTATCGTGGAGACTGGGCGTCTTTCTAAAGGTCGTCTATCCTGTGTTGCCATCGCTTCTCGTAGCAACGCTTGGCCATACGGCGAATTAAGAAGGGGAATGCCACATGCTCAAATTGGGCTGAATCGATTCGTCCGGGTTAGTGTTAGTCTGCCCCCATTAAGGTCATTCAGGGTCTTTTGTCAACTGGGCCTCACTTCAGTGGAACTAAAGCTGGAGAGTTTGTCAAAAGTAAATGGTGTTTCAGCTCTTCCGTGGTGATACTCTGCATGCTCAGCTATTCATTGCAGATTTCTTCTCCCCCGAAACCACTAAACAAAGTCAGAATTGCCTTTCACTTGGTTTAAAGTCTCTTCGAAGTCGTAAAAAGCCATCTCAGAATGGAAGAAGGTTCATTATTCGCGCATTTAAAGATCAAGGAGAAAGCAGCAGATATGGCAGCAAAAAATTTGCTATCAAGTCGCTAGAATATCGTGATGCTTTATCTTCCCGTCCGTCTCCATTCAGCAGTTAGATTTCCCATTTAGTAAAAAAAGGCGATATCTTACCTCACAGGTCCCTTACGAGCGTCTAGCTATGGCTCGTTGATGGAGGATGGATGAAGTTCCTAGTTTATAACCCTTACTGGAGGAATCGGATACAGGAGAATTAAAACGAGTCACAACAAAACAGTTCAAAATTGCTAAATCTAGCGATGGTTGTGGCGTTTGTGCCAGCTTTCATCGTCCAGGTGGAGTTGTCCTACATCTACTGCAGACGCTTCATAGATAGAAAGGATGCCTAGCACTATGATCACCGGCATGTCGGAAGAATTAATGGTTAAGATAGCTCCTGATAATCAAAATCATCTACCTTGATTACTGGGAAGAGAATGAAGTATAAGTTAAATTCAAGATAGCGACACATTCCGATCGGATTAGATATCTTCTGCCGCTTCCTGTCGGTAAAATGGAGCTAAATAAGAACGCTGAAAATAGAAAGACGATAGTTTTTGCTAAATAAACCAATGTTCCAGTGATCTAGAAGCCATGGACTCAGTCTAATAAAGCTCAGGCTTGAATTAGTACTTTTGCTCAACCGGTGTAAAAAAGATGAGGCAGATAAATCGTCTCAAATTTGAGTTTTCTCATGTGAATTCGGAGAAAATGTGTGACGGACGACTCTGAATAAGACTACAGGTGCTGCGTTATTCTTTTACCAAGATATCAAAAAAAGGATTTTAGAAAGCAAAAAATCAAAAATTTGCTTTTCCATGTGGTCTTCACAGCATTTCTAACAGCAGTTGAATCCAACGGCATGGAGCCTAAGAAACTGTGGCGACACTTGTGGTGGATGCTCACTCCACGCCATTCCAACCACATCGGTAGCCCCTGGGGGGTTCCAATCAAGGCAGAAGGAGGAGGAGTCTGAAGAGAAAAATAAGATTATAAAAATATTTCAAATATTCGCTCCCTTGAATCGACTCGAGTTTTGCTGTTAGCTGCACACATAAGGTATCCGTCTTTCGACTCAGGGTCTGAAAATCCTCCCTAATATCTCGATATTTTTTAAGAGTGTTCAGTGCGTGCGAGTCAACTAACGGCATTAAGCATAAAAGTACATGAAGGCTGACAGGTTAGAAGGGTGGATGGATGGCATGAGACTAGAGTCAGACAAAGTTGTATGGAGAGGTCACAGGGTCGTAGACTGAATGTTCACGAGCTGATTTTTTTTACAGACCACTAAGGCGCGTTGTTAGCTGTCTATATTCACATGCCCGCTACATCTGGTGTGCTTAGATTTCACGATTTCTGTGAAGAACGTTGCCTAATGTTGGTACAATTGAAAAAAAAAGAAAGCCAAGTAATTAACGAAATATAAGATAGTTGGTACATTCAGATGGTCTATGACGTGACCGGAAACAGTTAGTGTGGACCTCGCGATGACCTTGGTAACTTTTCAGCAGTTGTAAAGTGCCTTCTGCTGATTATGGGAATTATAACACACCAATCCACCACCACGGATGGATGTGAGTCCAGCTTGTCTACCCTACGAAAAAAGTTTAATTCGATTGCGAAGATCGAGAGATTCATCTCAACATCTACTGCAGAGCACTATGAGAAAAAGTGGGAATACTTAAGAGAAATGAAACAACTCATTGATATTTACCACATCTGGAAAGGTAAAGTCTCGGCGAAAGCTACCAGGCAACCGCACGCATTACCTAACTTTGATCGCTAGCCGACAGACTTGTGGTGAAAAATGATTTCCGTATTATGACATCCCCCAAGCCAGCAAACACCATCGGCTACCCCCTTATAAAGTAAGTTCTGTGTGTGTGTGTGTGTGGATGTGGATGGAAATTCGTGCTGAAGGACAGGGGATCATGACTAAGAGCTGCCTACTTAGAACGATAAAAATAAAATTTGTGCAGGAAAACCTTCTCGTCCTTGAGAGAACCTCGCAGTGAGGCTTGGGAAGGAGGGTACTACCTCGACTTTAACAGCTCCGGTGATGGTTGTCACATTTTACTGACACTGGACAATCGAATGACAAATTGGCAGTTGAAAAAGCACCGTAGTTATAAGGTACGGAGGGCCAAATTTCATTCTTCCCTTAAGTTTCTCATCACTTTTTCTTAATTACCCAATGGTTACCATAGCTTATGAAGCAAAATTAGAAATTGTCATGGATGGTTGTCATTGTTGCCGTACTTTGAGTCGAGAGGTGCTTTCCTTGTATGCGGGTGCTTCAGCAGGATTACTTTCTCTTGCATCCAGTCTACACGATCCAGGCGACTGGATGGTGAAAAGGTTGTCAGGATAATATTACCCACCTCAGAGACTACACTGTGTTAGGGGCGTCGTCGAGATGACTAAAGTCGCAAGCATCTCCACGGTATCCAAAGTAGGTTTGGTGTTGCTAAGTCCACCTGAAAAGTCTAAAAAAAGTCATTTGAGCAGCTAATTCGAGGTTAAACTTGAGAATGGATGTCCACTGAGTTCTCCAATAACAAAAATGATTACCCTGAGTTTTCATTTATCTGATCAACATGAATGAGGACTTTCTCTACATGATTGAGGGCGTGGATTTTGAATTAAAAAGCCGAAATTTGTCTTCCACATAAAGAGGAATGAATCAACTGTCTGTTTTTATCTAAAAAGGACTTGAACCATAACTTTACGGCGAAGGCGCCATCCTCTAAGAAAAAGAGTTTTTGAAAAGGACTTTACGAACCCAACGGAATTGAGAGGAGTAAAAAGTGTTCGTGTATGAGATGGTTGTGCTTAATTATGTCTGAAAATCCGACCACTCTTGCAACAGTTTAGCAGCATAGTCGTGAAAGTGGCTGCAAGCCTTTTATTTCTACCCCATCAAAGAGGAAAGAGGGAGGGAGAAAAAAAAGCGGCATTTCGACACACACGCTAGAAGGTGTGCATGTGTGCCATCAGGCTCAAATTCGCCTCCATGCAGTGCATAACTTTCGCGTTGAACTTTCGTCAGCTAGGCGTGTACGGAAGTGATGAACGATTACCGCACTACTGTGACCGACGCTCGGTGGGCTGGAGTCATGACCACGTAGGGTAATAAGCGAAGACAAGCATCATATGTGGCAAAAGAAAAGTAATCTTATTGAAATTAATCAACTCTTGGAGATCCTCATTCACAATAAACACCTAATCAGTCGTATATTTAGCTACGCGGGTTCCTCAATCGTCGTGGTCAGTACCAGCGCCTAAGGGGATGGCCGGAAGGCCATGCCTACAGCCTCGCCCAATAGGGCAGTATTGCTGTTTCACACAACCTTAAAACCATTCCACATCTGCAGGATTCGTCACGGCTTTGGGGGAGATTCGGAGGCTTGCCTACACTCGCAGCTGGAAGTAACAAAGCCCCCTTTGTGGCTACTAGTCCACGGAAGGCGTATACAATCCTAAAACCACTAAGTGCAAGAAGTTCACATTCACATAGATAAATGCAAATTAATTCTCCCTAAAAGAAATCTGTAGGAAAATGAGTGCTTTTTCCCCTTTTGTGACTGCAGTAGGTTAACTTTCATCTTCTAATAAATAGTGGGTGAAGAAGTATTCCTCCCTCCAAATTCCTCAATTTGGAAATGCGCCTCAGGTACTCCAACCACCGCAACTATGCAATGGTAGCGCTGAACTCGTCCATAGTCCTATAGCCTACGCCATCTTTCCTTCAAAAATAAATCACACTGCCCTCAATATTTGGACTATGATGAATGATGTCGATCAGTGTCCGCTCTTGAGAGGAATAGTGATTCGAGGAACTATTAATAATTTGACAGTAATTTCCTAACACAACTGAATTCCTCAACGATTACCCAACTTTTAAGCATTCGTTTAAAATTTCGCAAAACTTTCAGCTCAAAAATCACCAAAAACAAACACAACGGAAGGAGTGTTATTCACACCAACAAAGCTTTATTTCCACTCCAAAGAATGATGAGGCAGTGAAGGGAATGGGAGAAGTGGAGGGGGAGGAAGAGAGTAGCGTCTCAAACGGAGAATGGCCATACACAACCGTGGTAGACTATTAATCTGTCTTGTCTTTGGTCCCATTCTCCTTCCCATCTCCGGTGTCTGCCTTTTCGCCATCAGTCGATTTGGCCACAGCCATCTTGTGGGCTTTTATGTAGGTCTGAAAGGGATGAAAATCAAAGTAATTTGTTGATTGGTTGACTAGAAGGCTATTTGATATGCAAGAGTAGATTCCACCTCCAAGTCACTTCAAGTAGTTTGATCTGATGATAATTGATTTAAAGCACTCTTAATAAATATAAATATCAAACCATCAAGAACGTAACCCTTAAAAATATCCAATTTGATGGGAGACTGAGCAGATTCCACGCCTTGGAATAGAATAAAGCATTTCATAACGTACATCGGATGGAAAGCGCATTTAAGCCAAACCGAGACTTGCGGGTCAAACACCTCCCCCATCCACACATTTCTAAGGGTCCAAATTGCATTCCTACCTTCCCACAGTCTCTCCATCCCATATCCATAGCTCCATCCATCACTGTTTAACTCATCCATGCCAACTTCTCCACCATGTACAGCTTCATCTTCCTCCTACAGATTGAACCATCAACCCCCTTCACTACATCTCGATGACACGCCGTGCGTCCAACAGGCAGGCGTTCCATGCACTCACTTCATATTTATAGGAATGACTACTGAGGTTGCAGCCTTAGAGCGGGAAGCGAGCACAAAGACTGCGATCACCACTCAAGCACTATAGGATGATGTTCGCCCTGCCCCTACATGTCAGACATATCGTTAAAAAGCCGCTTCTATACTGGTGTGCCTCACATAAAACCTCCAGAAATAACTCAATTTATAAAATATTGGGATATCTTTGATACCAGTCACCCCTTACAAAAGATACGATGGGTTTCTGTGTTGCTTTAAAAAAAGCTGGAAGGGCAGCTGTTATGGATGTCTGAAACCGTGAATACTTACAACAGGAGGGCAGATACAACAACTCTAAGTAATGAGTCAAGACGTACATTGAAAAAGTAAGACTTGCATCCAAAAGTATCCGCTTGCATGTGGAAATGAAATGAGAGGATAACTCGGATAAATGGCTGGATGCTATTAAAGTGACAATAAGGCTTACAGACGAAACAATGGGGAGGTTGCAGCATAGTGCTTATTCAAAACAAATAACCTTCCTTATTCGAACAAATATTCCTGCGTAATGGACCCACCATAAAACACCATTAGTCTTTAAGCGATATCTCCCCAGTAAATAGTAGATATGTCCCATCGCATTCTTCGAGACGACGTTCAAAACAGGACAAGACAGTGGCATCAAATGCTCTTGTTATGCAAGTCATTTCAAAGAATAAGCCAATGCCATGAAGTGCAAACTCGTAAGAGAAGGCGCTGATAACATTAATGATTTTGAAATTGAATTAACTTTTACAATACTTAACCTTCAGACCAGGATCCAATCGCAATATATGGAGTGGCTATTAAAGGTTATCCAAACATCGATTGTCATTCACACAGACACGTGATGCGCCTTTCTAAGGCCACCCCAGCCTCTATAATATAATACTGGTTATTACTAATTCGGTTTTATTTTCATTACCATCGCCATCGGGAGATCGGATGCCTCCCTCAATGTGGTCAGAGGATGAGAAAGACTTCAAATGTCAGTGCTCAGACACATATTTCACGCAATGTAATCGCCATGGCACATCAACCAGACTTCTGCTATGCACTTTCCAAACGAATCCCTTCTCGTCCAACAAGAAGGGCACATAGCCCAAAGAAACCTCCTACCAAGCTGTGCCGCTATTTCTATTTGAAATTTGAACCCGTTTTGCTATGATGCAAACCTTCTATGACGTCGTGTCACCTATCAAGCTTCCAGCTATGGAATTAGTTTTATACGAATGCTATGAAAAGCATGCCTTAAGGCTCAAGAAATCCACCTGACTGAGTTTTACTTCAACCAACCAAAATTTTTCTCGTAAGTGCTAACGCCAATGCAAGATTGAGAAGACGCAACAAATAGCAATAAACAAACATGCCGATGTGCGTTTAAACCGTGCATGGCAGGTATTGCGTAGACACTAGTAGTCTACCGTCATCCACCTGCGCCTCAATACTCTTGAGAAACGCTAACATTAAAGACCATGTTAACGTGAGGAACGCTTAAATCAAAAATGTCTTGGTACTGGCCACTACGAGGTGAGATCAGTAATGACAGCTAAAATGAGGTTTTCGGCTGACTCATTCGGTAGAAGGTGATTAACATCCACCTCGGGGTACAAAGCTGTGCTGTCATGTAATCACCTCATCCAGTTTTTTAGCCATGAAATTTAAATGGTGCATCGAATTTCAGTTTTCAAGAGAAGCTAACCAAGTCGCATATCATCAAGACAAAAATTTGTTCATCAGTGTCAAAATTTGTTAAATAAAGGTGTATATTTTAGCTGTATCCGCCTTCTACATAGTAAGTTTACTACTTTCGCGTTTTAATGCTAAGCTTTAACGATTCGACTCAAGGCATACACCAAATCGCAAACTTCTAGTGAAATATGGAGGCGTAAGAGCCTTCTACAAATTGCATAAATTACTCCGTTTTAGGGTTTGACAGTGTAGAGCACAAAAAATGGGACACTTACTTGGTAGTAGAAGTGAGAGAAGAGGATGAGGAAGATGAAGGCGTAGGACAAGATCCACCAGCCAAAGAGGATGGGATAGTCGCAGTCCTTGAAGAAGAACAGTTGGGTGGTATGCGCTATCACAAGGACAAATTGGAGGATTTGTGCCGTCGTCATATACCTGGTGACAAATGAAAAGGGGGAGGGAGATACAACGATCAGTCGGATCAAAATTCACCAACCGAGCAATTAATGACGACCCAATAATCGATAACCAGATGTGGTGGGAATGAGTCATGCGCCGTGTGTCAACAACCTAGGGACATGGGCTTGGAGACATGTAATAGAAATGCAGAATACCATTCCGATGAAGGGGAAAGGTTCACAAATTCTTTAACGATCCAAGATGCCAGACGGTGCAGTTGGAAACTTTCAACCAGTAAATCGGCAATTATGGACTTAGACGAGCAGTAGAAATATACACTCGAAAGACTCACCTACTGTTCAAAAAGATGTGGTTCTGAAAAGTGGTTTTACACTTTTTTCAAAGACCAGGGATCGTAGACCAAGGTGTATGGGTAATTTGATGTTTGCATATATCTAAAGGGTCGATTATAGAAATAGTCAAGGGTGAAATTTGCTCCAAAATATCAAGTAATCAGGATGTGGGTAGAATTCTGTAATCAAATAATCCAGAGGCTGCTCGAAGATCTAAGGTTCCACAGATGACATACTTTTAACTTGCATCAAGGAAATTAACCATCGGGAAGGGAAGAAATGTTTAGTTAACTCGAAGGTATCAAAAGCAAATTATTTAAAAAAAAACTGGGTCCCGACATTGCAGGTAGCGAATCAATAAGAGATCAAACCCGAAAATAGTAACGCCTGGGAGAACAAAAAAGATCTCCGTGTTGCATAACTCTGATGACAATTACTCACTCCAAGTCTGATTGATATGCAAGAGATGGAGGGTGAAAGTGCCACTCAACAACTTAAGTTCTTAAGTGGGAGCATTTACAAATCTGGCTCATAATTCTAACCAAATTCAAGTAAAATTAACATATCTGCATGGGAAGCTTTGTCCAGGTAATTGGTTTCCCAGTCATCCAGCGAATAGCCTAGTTAGGTTAACTAAAGAAATCAAAAGGCCAATGACTCGCCAGTGACTCAAAGATGGAAGATTCTTAGACCTAAATTAGCATCCAGGCTTCTTCCAGATGACCTAATGAGCAAGTAAGGCATCAGATATTTAAGTAAGGTTTAAGGCGGATGCATTCCTCTTGAGAAGACTGGCTTCCAATAAAAAGGGGAGCTTTTAGTCTCTTAGGAGTTGTCAAAGACAGTAAATTCAGCAGCCACCAACAATCTAAACTCCACTTTTGCAGTCTGTAATCCCAACCAAGGCTAGGGAATTTATTTCACAATTCAATGATATCAAAGCTAAATGATTGGCTAGCTATTCAGTAGACCAGACGTTAAGCCTCCTTGTTGGTAAATGGACATGATTCTAGGCCAGAAAATGGCAACCTCATGTACTAAAACAACATCGCCTTGTGCACTAATGGTAGAGCGAGTACCCTGCTCTCAAAAAGTTAGATGACGCGCAGAAAAGAGAAAGCAGAGAGCTGTGTGAGAGCCTGGTCTTTCTGCACTCGTGTAGGTGGAAGAGAGGAGGGAGGGAGGAAAGAGAAAGTGGACAAAAAATAAGCTTAATAACCAAACGATCATTTCCAATCCCATCCACTTTTAGTCTTATGTGAGTGCGCCCGTACTATGCGAAGGTGACGAAGATCCGACGAGGTGAAATAAGACCATGTTTAATTCGTTCAGGTGACAATCTCATGTTAGCCAACTTATTTTCCAAATATGCAACACATTTAGCTTCATATTAGCTCACACTTCCAAGACTTGAGTCGCCTAACAGAACAAGTTGCCTGACCGAAACTATCAACTCGTTCATTAATGCATGTTTAGTTCACTAATTATTAGTAACGTTGCACCAGAATGGTAAATGGATGTATCCACCTTCCGCTACATAGCTACTTTCAGTTAAACCGCCTTATCCACCAATGACTTCGTTCCTCGTTAGGTCTGTCTTTTGCACAATCAGTTTACTTCAAATCCAAGGGTTAAACTTATTGCGAAAAGAAAACGCCTAACTAATATTCGAGTTAATCATGCTTCTAAAAGTATCACCGGGAAACAGAGTTTCATGCAGAGCCTTTCATGGAGAACCAAGAAAAAAGAGCAGTAAAATGAGATGTTAACTATCAGATATCGTACAAGAAGATGGGCTTAAGCAGGATCTAACGAGATAGGTCCTTACGAATCACTGAACTAATGACTTCAAATTCCATTTAGCCAGCGAGAACAACATTTCAAACCTGGTAAATGAGATTGCCAGGAGACTGGGTACAAAAAATGATATCGTATACACCCCACAGAAAATACTAGCCTTTAACCAATAATTAATCGGAACACAAGTAAGCAACATATCTTGCATGAAACAAAATGAGCAATAAGAACCAAAGAGGTATGAAAAAAGAGAGTCAAAGAGAGATCAGCGACACACCTCCTAAGAGAAGAGTTCTAAGAAAAAAAAACTCGCCGACGAAAATCAATGCCAAACCTCACCTTTTCCACCACAAGTAGGGATAGAATTGCGGACCAGCAGCAGCCAGTGCGTAATAAGTGTACATCCACACGTGAATAAAGCTGTTGATTAGGGCATGAAACGTACTAAAACCACCTAAAAAGCAAAAATCGTACTTGGACCAAGATCAGAAAGAAAACTGGTTTCCTCAACTTGGCTACGGACCAGGGACAAATTTGACGCCGAACCACCAAGAAGCCGCCATAACGGCATGGTGAAATACATGAAGAAAGGTGATGAGCTGAAATTTGCGCCTAAGGACGAAGAAGAAAGTGTCAGCGAGTTCAATCAGCTTGCTGATGTAGAAAACCCAACAGGCACGGGCCATTCTGAGAGCCTGGGGATGCATAGATGGATCAACGGGTTGACAGCCAAGAGTGTAACTGCCGAAAATCCACCCGGCTACGCTGAATTCGTAAACCAACCAGAGAGAGAGGAGCACCATGCAGGAGTTGTAAAAGACCATGATGTTACGAATCTCAAAGCCAGACGAACGCTGAGCCATGACCTTTTTGCCGTACCAAACTGCGAAGAGGTAGAAGCCAACAATGCCAAAGGTTGGCATTGGACTGGCCATCATGGCCCAATCGGATACTCGAGGATCTCCCTGGGAAAGCATACGATTGTAAGTCAGTTTGACTTGGTCCAATAATGGACTACCATCCTCTATGGCTGATCTAAAATTGCAAACAAACAATACAAACAAAGTAAGTTACGCCACCTAGAATATGCGGCAAAGAATGCACCTATATGGTTAATAACTAAAAAGACGCAAAGAGTGAGGGAATTTGGGCGGAAAAAGACCCTGTCAAAACGCACTCTCCGGACATAGGGGACGACACGGCAAATACGCGATACCGGAAACCACCTAAACCAATCGAACAACTGGATGGCTCACATTCATTCGCAAGGTTATTGAGGCATCGCGAATGGTGCAGTAAAACAATGTTGATTTCATATTTCCAAGATCCTCGTTAAGTAAAATCACCTAATTCCAAATCCTGATTGTAGGCCTCGAAAGACATAAAAGCGGCTAAAGATTATGAGATAAAAAAATTGGCTAAGAAGAAGTGACGGCACCTCTGAATAGTAAGTGATTTCGCTCTAGAAGAAATGCCATATGTGATAATTTTCTGAGGGCATCATCCAAGTCTAGGCAAGATGCTAATGGCGAGCCCCGAAGATGACATTTGGCCTTAATTTAAAATCTTTCTTCATTGTAAAGGTTGGAGGAAAGACTTCCTTTCCTGTCCCAGAAGTCGCTAAAAGCATTTAAATGCCTTGAATTAAATAAAACATAGAGCCCTTGTTCATGCTCTTGTCATGTGCGACTGTCAGAAATCAATCATTATTTATTACGTACAAGATACGGAATTTGCCGCAGATTAGATACGGAAAAAGGCGGTTTTTGGTTCCTTACTTGCTTGTTGAATTAAAGGGGGGTAAGCCATGATGATGGGGTAAGTACATGCAAACAGTACTTGATAAATGCTTTCAGGCAACGGTGTATTAGGCCATAGGTATGGGAATGATGTATGCAGTTTGAACCCATGGAAATGAATGGATAAGGGAGGCGTTTGACTTACAAGTCCAGGCTTAACTTAAGCACACCTAGCTAAATGAGCGGTTGAATAAAGCTGTTTAAAGTACGCTAGAGGTTTAAAAGGAACGGAGAAAGAACCCTGGGTAAAAGGATTGGGAGAACCAATTAACAGTTAGGAATTATTAAGGGGAATTTAAGCCCAATTTGAGGGAGAATTCCCCTTAAGATAAGCACCATGAGGCAACACGACTCATCCAGCAAGACAGAACACAAATTAGCACAAATTTCCCATGTCTGCTGATCACATGGTGTAGACAATAAGATTTGAATACTACTCACTTACAAGGCCAGAACATCGTAGCCAATTTGCCCAATTTAACTTGCCAAATACCAAGAAATTAACGAGAAAGTAATTAGATGACTGACGAAGAGTTGCTTTTTAATACTGCCACAACCAATGGAAGATTTGTAACGTACTAATCTCAGCCACATTCCTGACAAGCGCTTACTCAAATGCAATTCACAAACGGCTTCTTTGCTTTTCGCAATTCGCTTAAATAATTGCCTCTCCAGTTTATGCTCTTTCATCTCTTCCCAACGCGGCAGAATCAACTCATGAATCCCATAGTTTAACTGCATTTTTGACCACCATCAAAGCCGTCCACATCATCTCACTTTGCCTCCTCCGCTGTCAACTATTCCATCTTACCAGGTCTGCTTGCCATCTGATTATTTAATGGCAAAGAAAGAAGCCGCAACGAGCTGAAGGCGGAGAATAAAAAGAAACATTATCTTTCATCCTAAAACGCACGGCGCACCTTTATGACGTGATACAATAAAACGTCTACCATTAAGTGAATCATTAGGATTAGACAGTTTAAATTCGTGGATGGCAAGATGTTCTCCAGGCGTATTCTATTTCTGCACTTTTTCGAGGCACTACAGCCAAAATGTGATGAGAAGCTTCCACACTCCCACCGTGGAAATAAGTCCAAGTCGATTCACAAAGAAGAAAAAGGTCGAATCAGGCCAAATTCTCCGATCCTCCATGGTCAGTACGTACACCTTCATAACTCTGTACTATACGTTGCGACCGTTTTGCACCACCTCCAATTGTGCTGCTTACACTGACTTCGGAACGGTCTCAATGGCCTTCGTCCAAGCTCGATCCGACTTTACCTTGATCTGTGGTAGGAAGTACCCATCATGGCTACTTATCCACATTTAAGTAGCAACTAAAATGTGCTCCTGTTCTTTCCCACTTCCGTCCCCTCGTTACTAGCTGGAGCATCGGCGATTCAGTATTCCAATAGATATGGTAAGCCGCTAAAGGGGAGCGACAAAAGGGTTGAAGAGTGAACTCAATGAAAAAAGAATTGAGTGCGAGGATAGATCGGAGGGGAATGTGGACTCTGCCGGTTCTTCCGCAAAAACATTCGCTTTCATTATCACAGAAATTAAAGCATCACCTAAATTAGTCAAATTTTGACCAGAATGAAAGAGAGAATTAACCCAACGAAAAAAAACCGCCAATATGAGCACATGAGGACATCTACTTCATTGAATCATTTGTACATAATTGAGAGGAAGCGAAAACTACCTCCATACAGACACATTGGAAAATTTAACGGTAATCAACGCTAGATCACATGCCCTTCATTTTCACCATCTTGATTCGTTGCTGGCGTTTCCGATTCTCTCGTTTCTGTTCTCTCTCCTACAAAAATAGACAAGCCGAGAGATAGAGAAACTATTTGAGGCAAAGAAAAAAAAATGCAAAAGGTGTTTTAAGCGGGATTAGTCTACCGAAGGATGCATCCTAGGCTTTAAGAACCCTCACCTCAAGTCGTCGAGCCTTTTCCGGATCCTCTTCTGTCATTATGCGCTCCTTCACGGCTCTACGTTGCTCATCGCGACGATTTTGTGCCGCCTCCTGCCGTGCTGCTTGTACAGACTTCAGAAGTGTCTCACTGACCTTCGTTCGGGCTCGATCTGACTTGGCCTTGGCCTGTCAAAAATACCCAAGACCACGACTACTTACCCGTATTTAAGTAGATAATTTGGCAAATACAGAAGTATAATGGAACAAACCTCCTTTCCGAGTCGTAATTTGCGAGTCTTCTCAGTCAGGTAAAAAACAAAGTTGAAGAGCGGCTTCATAGCCTCCACATCTTTTTCATCCACTAAAAAACCAAGTCACTTTAAGAACAAATGGACAGACGGAAGGGTGAGCAGGGAGAAGACGACATCGAGGTTTCTTACAAATGAAAGAGAAGATGAGAACTTTTTGAATTTCTTCAGGTTTCGGTGGTTTAAGTTCTCTGAAAAGGAAGAAGAACAATTGGTCAAGAAAATCACGCCCACACTGTGCTTGTATGACTGATATTTGAGCAGATATAACTGGGTACAGAGAATCCTATCGTGATATGGGCCTTCACAGCCTACCGCGAATTAACCCTCGAGATTGTCATCGCATGGAGTTCTGCTACCGGCTTTTTTGTTCTCTTACACGTCAGTAATAGAGCTACAGTAGTGGCAGCGATAAACAAACGCATTTCGGAAGGTCGACAAGCATGGTACACGGGGAATGGTAGATGAAGTAACCATGCTGAAGGTGACTGAATCTGTGTATGTCGACTGTTGGCACTCACCACAATCTCAAGTTCGACAGTTAAGAGAGACTAATTATGAACGAAGAGAAATCGCTCGTGAAAGAACTACCCACAGCATTGTTACGGACACGAACACGATAATCACTTCCATGTAGCCTCCAGACACGTGAATTTTGCCTCGAAACCCACACAGCATCTGGATCGCTACAGTCAATATGAATGAAGAATCTTCCTGTTCTAATGAAATCACATTGGCATCCCAGCGTCGACCTCATTTTTTCCTCGTGGTTAGGTATATTTCGGAGGAGGACTTTGAACCAAGGGGAAGTGTCAAGGATGACGCTTAAAACGAGTCAAAACCCCAAAAATCTACGGCGATCCGGCTTCCTCGCTGATAGCAAAAAACTCCTATTTTCTCGGCCCTTCCGCAAGTTATTGCCCACAGGAATGATCACTGCGTTCTTTTAGCCAGTTTTAAGGTCCCACAAAGGAAAGTGGGCTAGAGTTGGTGCCTTACTCCATAGAAGCCTTTGGACCTGAATACTGATCCGAAATGTAGATGTACTCGATGGCGCTTTGATGATCGTTAATGACTTTGAGAACCTGTGAATGCAAGCAGAAGGGAGAAAATTAAATTTCAAGAGGAAACAACTAAAAACATGTCACGCACTCATCCAACCATCTGTCCAGCCGTCACCTATTTCTAGTCGAACGAACCACACATTATTGATACACCCATTCAGCCATCCGAAATACACTCATCAACTTGTCAATTTATTAGGTTATTACTTCCAGCTTCACTCATGCATTCGTTCCAGGTTTATTCACTCATCCCTCAGCTACCACTATTCAACGCAACTAAATACATTTGCCATCAAAGTCGCTGAGAAGATCAACCGCCAGCACAACCCCCAATGACACTCACTAATTTAAGTTGTCGTTCGTTATTCTATTCTAAACCATTCCTTTTAACTAAATATGCTACAAATGCATGCCGTGGATACTCAGATAAGAAAACCAGAACATCACACCTGCGATGATAGCAGCATGGGCAGTAAGCAGCTTGAAAGTAATCAACTTGAGTCTGCAAACTTTGCAGTTTTAAATATCCGGAACACCTTCCAGAATTTACCGTCGGGTTCAAAATTGTTGCTGTCGCCTCCGCAATCTCACTCAGCACAATCATCCCTTCCGGCACGCCGTTGAACCTCTGCCCCCTCCTATCCACCGGATATGTTGCTAAATCAAAGTGGTCCTTTGCCAACATCGTTATGGATTTCTTCACTCCCACTGCCATCACCCAAGTGTCCATTTCCCCATCTTCGAGAACCACTTTCACTACCACCCGATCGTCGGAGGCAATGGTTGCGGCGTTGACACCCGACTTTGGACGATGAAGCCAGTGGAGAAAAAGGGAAGGAAGATCCTGACGCTTCATTAGACGAAGTTCCACCATCATACCGGTGCAAGCCACCCGACCGGAACACCAAAGGGTGTAGAGGCTATCGGATTCACGGATGAGACGCCGATTCGAAGAAGATTTCTCACCCCCCCTACTCGTTTCCCTTTCCTGATTTCCTTCTGGAGTTGCCGAAGTGTCGTCACCAACCATGGAAAAGTTGGTGGAGAGGAGATTCTCATGTGCCGCAAACCAGGCTGCAGCTAGACGCGAATTGGTAGCCCGACCGTGCATGTAGTTCACCAAATAAAGGAATATGAAAGCGAGGAAGAACATTTCAAAGACGTAATGCTCCAACGAACGAAAGGTTGGTGGCACCTAGGAGGAGAGAGAAATAAAGAGAGTGCCCTTCGCAAATTTGACAGCCGTTTCAATCAATTGATGTCACTGTGTGGATAAGCCTCAAACACTCACGACGATCGTGGCTGGAGGGATCAATGCTTGTCCAGAAGACTCTTAGTGAAGGGTCAGTACATGACTGAACAACTGCACAAATAAATGAATAGGCAATCACAAATACTGATGGATGCTTTAATACATAAACAGGTGAACCGAGGTGCACATGAATGGTTAGGCTGCATCTATAGGTGAATTTACGGGTGAGTGAGGAGATAAGACGAGAAAATGTTAAATTGGAATGATGGGTGATAAGAGGAAGAAATATGCGAAAAGTTGGGTAGATGGGTGGGTTGATAGAAGTTTCGACAAGAATACAGACTAAAAAGGGCCACGAGAGGTGTTCCCACGCATCAAATGTATTTTGGCAAATCCATAAGCACCCGCATTAACGAAATGGTTTGGAGATGAACCAATACGAGGGAGGGATGAATAAACTGATTTACTAAGAAAGAGGCGGAAAGAAGGCAATGCACACAGATAACTTAGTGGACAAATGGATTAATGAAGGCATGAATTCTTGCAAAGGTCAAGGAGGAAGTCGTGAAACAATAAAGGACGCAACATTAGTGAACCGATGGAACAGCCAACGCAATAGTCAATGAAGCGACGGGATAACAAATGTACCAGCAAATCAGGAAAGAACGAGTGAGTAGGGAGATGGGTGAGTAAATCAAACATGGGTAATATCAAAATAAACCATGAGCGACTTAATGAATTATGCATGTACGGTTGACAATTGCTAAAGCAATGAAAGACGAATGAAATGGAGACGCACGAATGCTCAAATGAGTAAAAACGGTAGGATGGGTAGGTAGATAGAAAACTCCGATGGCCCAGGCGTTCCCAGTAAACGGTTGAATCAATCAATGCATAACGCACCCAGCCAGTGAAAATCAAACAGATTATGGAGAAATGGGTGAATCGCTGAAGGAGTAAAATGAATCAACTGACGATTTAAGGGCGAGTGGCCCCAAAACAACTTATTTCAACGCCAAAATTTGGTTGAAAGGGTTAACTACCAATTTTTAACTAAGATTATGGACCGCAAAAGAAGATTCAGTCAATCGCCATCAATTTCCAAAACGACAACATAAACCCTTATTTATGCCAAGCCCACAGCGTACTTGAAACAGCAGCAGGCATCAAGGCGGTTAGTCCTTGACCTATTCCGGACATGACTGTATTGATACTTTCTTCAACAACGCTTCAAGTAGTGTATTTCTAAAGAGGTCTAGATTGCAAGAGCTAGCAAAGAATGCCTTTCGACCATCTAACCACTCAAGTAATGCAGGCTGTAGGAGACAACGATGCAGTTTTGATTGAACAAACGCGTATAAGGGAATCACCAATCGATCCAAGGACTGAAAGCCACTTCCAATGTCCGAAGGTGGATGCACTCAGAAGACCACAGAAGAAGCACAACTATCATTTAGGGGGATTCCTACCGTGATTCAAATACATGATTTCCTCAGTATTGTTTTACGGCTCTGCGTAGGTGAAAAGATTCAATATTTTAAACTATAAAAATCAATCCCAAAAAGGTCAAAGCAATAAGAATAAAAGGTGGCAGAAAACGAAAATTTCCTTTATAAAAATAGGATGAATAATGATTTTTAGGGAAGCATAATCACACTTAACACCCGACGAAAGTAATAATAAATATCCCTAATATTTCTAAATGCTTAAGAATAGCATGCACATTGACAGAAAAAAGTTTAAAACAAAAGAACTTACTTTTGCTACTTTCAAAAGAGGTTTATTCGAGGTAGGGTCACCACTTTCAGATTCAGCCTTACGAGGAATGAATCCTTCAAACTCCTCATCATCCGGCTCAATTCCCCGAATGGACTATTTTAAAAACAAAATTAAGTTCTAAATGAAATCCTCACGATTTGACTAAGAAAAGAAAATTGAAACACACTTCATGATCCAAATCTTCAGACTCATTTTCCATCGGTTGCTCAAAGTCGTTGAAAGACATATCTCTCACCGGTTCTCGGTGAATAAGACTTTCCACCTCAACTAATGTTTACACAATCATTTCACAATAAAAAATCAACAAAAAACCTTCATCAGGGTCATAAAATTCGATGAATTCGTCATCTTGGGCTTTACAGGGTACAACCAGGGCGAAGGCAACAAACAGAGACCAGTAAGTCCAAAACGTACTACAGGGGTAATATGGAATCGCAAGTTAAAGAACCATTTAAAATGAGTTAACAAACACTCAAACAATAGTACACGTTACTGACGTAAAATCTAATCGCTGTCGGAAGGCTAAAAATATTAAACAAGCTCAGCGAATTCATTGTACAAGCAGGTGAGAAAATCTTTGCAAAAGAAATGAAGCAGAAGAGAGACATGTGGTACAGTTACTAAAAACGCGGCAAAACCCGCCTGAGCATTGCGAGCGTCACGCAAGGTTTAGTGCGCCGATTTAACCTTGGCAAAATCAACCAGCTTGTCTGCCATCTAAAATAACCCTTGCATTTATTCGCAATAAAAATAAGGATGAATTAGCGACCAAAGGTAAGGCATAATATCAAAAGATCTACTGAATATATCTAATCGAAAAATACTTCCGTAAGTATGGTTAGGCAAATGGACGCAAGACAGTAAAACAGAAGTAATTAAATAATGTAGGCTTAAAAAATAAACAGTCAAGCACTATTGAAAAAAACAAAAGTTATGGAAGTTGGGTGCCATGTTGACTACACAGCAACAGTGAAATTGATATTTTTGAAATTATAGCTACATTTAATTTACTTTAAACTCGCAGTCGAACATATTTCAATGCTCGTGTAGTACGATGGTGGTTTGTCCCCCAGTATTGGCGAGGCGCCACTTTCGTACTTTGGATTAGCCTTCTTGTACCTCACTGGGTGGGCTGGCCTTCGGACCATGCCAGTAGCCCAGACACCTTCTCTGTGCTGAATACATATATTCTGCCCGAGTATTGTGTCTTCTTTCGTCTTCAGGGAAGTCTCGGGACGCTACACTTGATCCACTCTTGAACCTATCCACTCGAGTCCTTGCCGACCTTATTTCTACTCACAATACACCCTTCTAGCTATCCCATTAATCTTGCACACTTTTATGGAGGGCTCAAGGCTCTATAATATAAAAATAACGTTTTGAAGAGTTGGGATACCCAGTTGCTTGGCTTATAGGGCAGGTCACAGGGAGGAACCACAATCTGTGGAGATTGAAGTGGCCACACAGCTAAACACTCTCAGCTAGACGAAATGTGTGACAACTACTTAGCCACTTTTTATAATTGATGTTCATGTTTCTCTTGTTTGATTGCCCACAATAGCTACAGTCATTGAGCTCAAGAGCAACTAAGTGGGTGTTTGAACCCAACGTCACTGGTTAATCTCTGGCATTTCAATGGATTTCACGCTCCATTCGATTTGTGCTGTGTGATGGAAATCGGATGGGCATTAACTTTATTCTGCACAGAGACAGGCGATAATCTGTAGTAAAAGCAACCTGTATGCCAGTTCCGATTTATAAGTACTCTGGCATATATGTAAAAGTGTTTTGAAAAATCATTTTAGTGGTTTTTAAGGAGAATGGTCGCAATGTTCCAGTTTCAATAGTACCCATCCATCTACCTACCTGAGTTCCTAGAAGTTGGTAAAAAGGTGAAGATGACACCGCCTATTTGCGTGGCTAACAATATTACAAAGGTTTGAATGTAATGTTACTATGCTTGTCTGTGGAGCGAGGCTCGTCGGTCTCCGCGTCCCTGTTCCTAGCATTCTAGGACACGCCCAGTTGATTCATTTTGGACATATTTATTAAAGATGAAAAGATGGAGAGAGAAAATACAACGTTTAAGAAGGAAAGGAACCGTAGTCACCGGGTACGGGAGAGGACGACCCGGTCACGAGATCCGAATTTCCTGCTTGCCTTCTCCCTGAACGGTATATTGAAACAACATAAGTATTACATGTCACTACCATTGCTGTAGGACGCAGGATTAAACTAAATGCCATTAGAAGACGCCATTTTTACCCTTCCTTTAAGAGGCTTTAAAGACTCATTCAGCCAAGATAAATGTTTTCCATAGAAAAAAAAGTGGTACTAAATCTAAAAAAAGATTTTTATGCTTAATTTGCTCAAGGTTACAATTTGAATAACTCCTCAATTATTCTCCGAAGTCGAAGCAAGGGACATTACTGTGCTGCTGACGTACCTAAGGGAAGAATGGCTACTAATGTAATACTTATGTTGTTCTAATGTGCCTTTCAGGGAGGAGGCAAGCAGGAAATTCGAACCTGGTAACTGGATCGCCCTCTCCCTTACCTAGTGACTGCGGCTCCCCTCCTTCTTGAATATTGTATTTTCCCTATACATCTTGTCGTCTTTAATAAAGATGTCCAAAGTAAACCAACCGGGCTTGTCTAGGAACGCTAGGAATCGGGAAGCGGAGACCGAGGAGTCTTGCTCCACACTAATGTAGGCTAAAATTAAAGTCTCAGAGCGAAATAACAACTTGCAGTGAGTGAGGCACTTGCGAGGTTCAACGTCCAGTTAAATAATCTATCCAAAAATAAGGGTGACTGTTCCAATTTCGTCAGATAATTCTGTCCTTCAAAAACAGCTTATATTTTAGAGCAAGTTGTGATTCCCTAAAAATATTATATTTATAAAAGTTTGCCAACGCATAAAGTAAAATGCTTAAAAACAAAATAAAATGTGTAAATTTATTTGACTATTTTTAGCCGGATATCTGCAATTTGATTACAGCCCTAATACTCTTTGTTAAAACAGTATTTTATTTGTTATGCTAAAATTGTTCAGGCCTTATCATAATATTGTGTTTTAATTGATTGAATGAAGAATACAGAATCTCCCCATTTGTGGGACTTTTCAAACGTTCTTCTGTCGATATGTTCGCGGAGAGGGGCCGTGATGAAGAAGACTACGATTATTTGATTAAACTATTGGCATTAGGTCAGGTTACTTGCAAAAACTAGGCGTTGCCATTTTGATTTTCGCTCGGTTTTATCCTACTTGCATTTCAGTCACCTACATATTGTAGCTGCCTCCTAAAACTATTTTTTCTTTTTATGTTGTCGAGGCACTTACTTTGAGGTTTTTTTAAAGTTTATTTCTTAGCTTGTTTAATTTAGAGTATTTTTTTAGGCGATAGTAATGTTGGAAAGACTAGCCTTCTTTATCAGTACACTGATGGGGTTTTCAACGTCGACATGAACGCGACAGTGGGTGTGGATTTTAGGCAAAAACGCGTTATTCGTGAAAATAAACAGGATGCGAGTGGACTTTTGGGCCAGAAACAGCGACTTTACTTGCAGCTTTGGGATACCGCAGGTCAGGAAAGGTTCGTTCTCTTTATCATTTGACCTAGAATAATCCATTTCGTTATAATCTCTGTGCTTTCATCGTTGCGTTGTTTTTTGAGTAATGTTTACCCCTAACAAAATATTATGCTATGACTTATTTGGTAATGTTGTCTCTGAGTGTTTGTTCAGTGCGTAAATTTGCCTTCTTTGATGTTCCACTTTTTACTGTGTCATTTTTATTGCTTAGGTGTCGAGAAATATACTTGAATGCGAGATTCAAAATAGCGTTAGCACTTAAATCACCGAGTTTGGTAAAATTGATTGCTTTTTGTTATAGTGCTTAGACTTCTATTATTTTGGGGCGAGATTGTTAGTTAACTTTTCAGTAAAGCATTTCCATCGCTCTTATTCGATCTTTTCTCCCAATCTTTATTATATATTATTTTTGACATTTACTAAGTTGCGTGACTGTCACACACTAATTTGAGATTTATGTTGCGCAGTAGATGTGTCTGGTTGTTAAAATGAATGCCTCCTCATTTTCTTTGAGTTTTCCTAACTCTGCCTGTATGATATCTGGAAATTGCTCCTGCTTTCTCGAGTTTTCTTTGCCTAATCTTCCGAAATTCGGAAAGACTTAGGCGATGTGTCGGGCTTTAAAATATTTTTTCAGCCCTTGAGACGAATGAACTGGATTAAACTTTTATTTGTGCTCTATTGATAAGGATTGAAGTAAAAAGTGGGCAAGTTTTATTTTTCCACCCTCCATTCCTCTCTCGTTCTCGTAGTTTACATCTTAAACAGGATGTTCGGATTTTAGCACGCGGAAGTTTTTGGGTCTGAAAGCACCTTAAAACATAAAACAGCTCAATAAATTAGGTGAATGTGATGTTTGACATAAAAAGCTAATGTGAGTGTTCTCCGGCTTCTTCGATAACACCCTTAATCGTTTGTAAATGGTGACATAGAAATTTCTTTTTAGCTTAATTTTTCACACAACCACTGCTACATTGACATTGCATCCAGCCTGGTCTCAGCTTTATATCAGACAGTTTTGAAGGTATACAAGGACCACATTTAAAGCCTGACACTTTATCATGAGAGGCAAATTATTAGTGGAGTTATTCGGCTGCCTTACGACCTTGATTGGTTGCCGATCACTGGTCAAATCGTGAAAAAAGCTGCTCCGAAAATTGCAAACTTTGCCATTTTTTGTCTTTTTTTTTGTCTTTTTTTCGGCTTCTTAAAACTCTTTTAACCAAGTAGGAAAACTTTTTCCCGCTATTTATCCATCATGTATTGCATCTACCACAGAAGTGAATAGACTATCGTCATTGATGATAAAATCTGCTTTTTACTTGGCAGCTTAGTTGTTGTCTGCGAGTGGGGGGGGAGTTTAAATAAACCTCTTGTTCCATTGTCCGCTTTCTTCTGATAGACTGTGGGGAAAAATGAGGAATGTCAACAATGTATTGACTGCAGAAAGGTGATGCTTCGTTTTTAAAGAAACGGTGTATTGATGGCTAAGGAAGGAAGCGGATACATAAATCCATCTTAGAATTACCTGTCCTGGTTTTTCCCCGTATTTATCTTGTTGAGTCTTCTAATTAATTAACCGATGCAGTCAAATCCACCAAAAAGGACTGATTACATTATGCTCACACAAACCACCTTGCCATCACGGTTGTATACACAACTTGTAAATTAATTTATACATTTTCTTCATGAATTTCAGATTTCGCAGTCTATGCACCGTCTTTCTTCGCGACTCCATGGGATTCCTCCTGGTCTTCGATCTGACCAACGAGAAGAGCCTTCTCAGCTGTCGAGAGTGGATGAATCTACTCTGTCAACATGCCTATTGTGAACGGCCTGACGTAATTCTGGTGGGGAACAAGGCGGATAAGACAGAAGAACGTGTTATATCTACGTCTGATGCGCAGAGGTTGGCTCAAGAGTTGCAGTAAGTTACCTTGTATTTCCAGGTGCGTCTTGACTATATCTGTGCTTGAATACAAAAAGGCCTGAGAGAGGTGTAGCGACGTGAATTCGGAAAGACCTGCTTTACAGTGTCTAGTGATCTCTGTAATTACTCTGCTGCGTAGGTAATTACAATCGAATCTGGGCGAAGCAATTTTCCCCTTCACTAAGGGGACTTCTAAGTTCGACGGTTCTGACGCCCCTTAAGGCTGTCATGTGCTCTGCTAGCCAATTTTGTTAGGAGATAATTTTACAAGTAATGTTTACGGTTAGTCACGGCACTTTGTGTGTCAATCTGCTGTAATTTCCCACGGAATCGTGTATTTATAGTAATCAGCATGCAGCAGGACTCCATGTCACTATCGTGGAAGTGTATTTGCGAGACGCCCCTAATCGTGGACATGAGCAGAATAAACTGCTCTCTTACAAACTGTAACCTACATTGCAAGGTGCGCCTTATTTTCAATGACTCGCGTATTCCATTTTTATTAATTTGAGGTAAAGAAGACATGATGCAAGTTCGGGTTTATTAAGTTACACACATACTCATACCTTACGGTAACCAATGCTAGTCGAGTCGAGTGTATTGAGATGGAGATGGTGATAATAACAATAGTAATAATGATGATGATGACGGAAATGGTGGCGCGGTATTGTAATTTCATCACGGTGGGGAGGTTTTCAATATTAACTGCCTTGACAGCGGCTTGCACCTTATGAGTTTCGATGAAATTTCCCATATCAAGGGAGTGGAATTCTCTGAGACACTGATACTGCTCTACAGGGGGCTCATTTCGCTTCGTTTCTTCTCTACATCCCTTTTCCGCTTAAAGGCCTTCCTGATATCTGTCTGTCTTAGTTTGGTCTCTTTTTTGCTTTTGCAACTCTGAGAGCAGCAGAAGATAATCCGATTTCGCCACTTAGCCGGTCAACAAATGAGGTCACTTGGAAGGCCGTTCGATTCTCGAACCTAGTCCTAAGGTAATGAGCTTCTGCTTGACCTTACTTCCATTCGAGATGTCCCAACTAAATTCCCTTCTTAGGTGGACATAGGCAGAGGCGGATAATTGTACATTTTGACAACGACGACAACAACAACAGCTATTAGCAGTTCCATTTGATACACCTGCCTATCGATCACCAAATCCACCCTGGTTGGTAGTTGGCTGCCTGTCTTGTCTCCTCTTTGATTCCTTTTTTATTTTTTTTGTGCAGATTCGTCAACTGCGTTTTGCCAATGTTCCAACATTGGGTTTACTGACCTTCAGATTCTTAATTTAACACATTCACTACTGGTGTCACATAGGTGTAACGCGCCAACTTTTCTCCTTGAGACCACACGTCGCCTACATAGGCAACACAGCTAGCCATGTCAGAGGGTAGAATGAAATAGTAAAACTCAGAAATGACCAGCCTAAAGGCCAAAATGCCCTGAAAGATAGATTTGAAGCCTCTTCGGATTCAATTATTAAGGCATCATGAAACCTGAATAACGACCGCCTGCCCACCTGGCACGAAGGGGGACAAAAGGCGGAGTTATTTTATGAATTAACAGATAGTAAACAGAAGTTGCTGCCTTTTGTAGCCCCACTGTTACATTATTTACACAACAGATGCTAGCCTGTGTAGTGTGAAAACCCGTGAGTTGGCAGAGGCACTGTGAGTTCACTGTCCTAGGCGACCAATCACAGCCGCTATATACCAGCATGCCTGAGGGCTGGCTACTGCCACGAGTTAGCCTAGCGCTCTGCTACACCTCACCTCTGATGACGCGTACATGAGTAAAGGATGACTGACGCGAAGAAATGTCATTTCTGAAGTACAATACACTTCTACTACGGCTGAGGTATCTTCTGGCAATCTGAGCGGGCAGCACGAAAGAGTGGTCTGTCATAGAGGGCTATGAGCTATCAGTGGCAAAGCTGCAATATGACTTTTTTGTTAGAAGGGTTTTTGTCGATTCCTTCTTGATAATCTCTACTTAATAAAGTGGTTTTCTTGCCTTGACAACACCTTGTCAACTTTGACACTATCGCGGGTTTAAAAGCCTAACCTTTCTCACCCATCTTTGATAAGTGATTGAATAGTGCTTTTGACAGGCTTATCAGTCTGACCTTGTGCTTTTTTTCACCACTGGGCTTCTAAAATGAAGCCTTCTTTCCCAATAAATGCATTCCGTGGGACTTGGAGGCATAGAGTTGCTACTCATCAGCATCACCATCATCACCTTTCCTATCTGTTGAGTGAGAGGATGATCTGACTTGCAGTGGTTGTAGTGAAGATATTGGTCAATGACTTCCACATTGGATGTGTGCATGGGAATCCGTGGTTCAAGACTTCCAGTCCCTCCTTCATGATGATGCCTCTTGAAGTCTGGAGCTCAATGCCTGTTTTTCCCTTCTGGATACGAAATCTTTTTGACTCGACAGTGGAATGACACAAAAAACAGGACTGAAATGACCATTTAATCTACTGTCGCGAGTAGAATCTTCTAGGAACTCCAAATTTCGGGAGAACTTTTCATGTAGATGTTCCCTCATAATGGCAGTTCTCTCTTACCTTTTAGAGTGCCCTACATAGAGACCAGTGCACTAAGTGGAAAGAACGTCTCCGCAGCAATTGATATGCTTCTGGATCTGGTAATGAAGCGGATCGAGGAGTCAGTTACCAAGACCCGAGTTCACAAGGCCACAAGGAATTCTAATGGAGGCATTCACTTGGAAAATGCCAAGTCCACAAAGAACAAATCGTGCGCTTGTTAATAAGGTAATGCTTATTCCTTTCCCCTTACACTAACGGTGGCTTTCGGCCATGAGGCTTTGATGCCCTCCCCTTCTTCTCTCTCCTTTATCTCATTGATTGGAGGTGATATATTGTTTGGGGGCAAAAGAGTGAATGTGGCTTTGGAAGTCCATTTCTGCTAGTTGCATGCCATTTGCTTGCTTGTCAGCGCCTCAAGAAGCGACTTACGGCATAAGGTATTCATGCTTTGCCTGCTGTTCATTGCTTTACATTGGCAGGAATTCATCTGGTTCAGGTCTATGGCTCCAAGTGGACAATTACCCGTTGGCCCTTTCCCATCAAGGTAGATGTCAAAGGGAATGGTTTTTTCCTGGGTCAGTGAATCCTGCCATCTGCAGCAGAGGCCTTTATTTAATGGTAATCAGTCGATTATTTTGACCCTTTGATGTCTCATTTGGGGCATCAGTGAACGTGTCCAAGGAGGTAAAGATGGCCAACTAGTGCACCAAGAAGTTAACCTTCTTTGAAGTGACCCATCAAAGTAGCGTATTATTTGTGAGATCTGGCGGCTTCAAATTGGGATGATAAGGAGGTAGTACCGCCTGCGGAAGTTAGTAGTAGGTGTGCCGCTTTGCCCATATCCAGTGGGTATTTCATGAGTCTGCCCAATCATCGTGGTGGAGCGTGAATGGAAGGGAGTGCGTGTAGTGAGGAGCAAAGTTTCTTCTGATCAAAGATCTATTACTTCAGTTTGCAATTCTTTACTAGCATCGGTTAATTGCAGCACCGTATGTTGCATTGGTGGGATGCTCAGTTGTCCAGCTGTGGTAATTTGGACGGTGTCATCGGTCGCATGGACGCCTTTCATTGACAATGTCAGCCATGGTGGTTTTCGGCTCATATCATGACAGTCAGTCCTGTGAGCAAGCACGCATAGACAGTGCCTGGAACGTCAAATCCTGGAAACGAGAGCCATGCGGTTCGGAAAGTTGGTGCACGCTGGTTACCAAGCCGCATAGGCTGTCCAATTCTTCGTTGTTAAAGCTGTTCAGGCAGGTGAAGGCGGAAGACTGTGTGTCTGTCAGTCTACAGTGCGCTACTAATAAATGTTTCGGGAGGATGTGCGTTTGATGCTGATAATAAAATCCAGAATCTTCCATGGTCTGTGATTTCCTACCGCACCGGAGCAATTCATGCTGACGAGTTCCTTTGTCCCATTTGTACTACTCATTTTGTAAATAAGTAGGACGACTAGAATGCGACTAGTGTCAACTACCTGGCACATTCCATGATGGTTTGAACTACCCTCTGCTCTATAGGGCATTGATATGTGCCTTGTTCCACAAGGACTCACATCATTAACTCATTGTATGCCTTCTAAAAACATTCCGCAGCAATATCCCCCCAAAGGTTGGTAAGGAAAGAGGAAAGATAACTAAGGAAGCCTATAAAGTGTCAAATCACGAAGCTGAATGATGTCATCAAATAGTCATGTGTCTCTTCTAGAAGCATCACATTATCGTCACTGTCGTCAACTGGGAAATACAGGAGGCACATCAAAGGGTAAGCAATCAACGCCGGACACTCCAGCCAGTCTTTAGGCCCCGCTCCAAATAAATGAAGTTACCATTTCTTTTTCCGCTTTTTCGCAAAGGCCTATTTAAAAGTAGAGTGTGGTCTTCCAACACTTGGGTTAATTAGGCGTGACGAATCGCAAAGCAGCTGCGGTAACATTTGAATCCTTTCTCCTTCTGTTCGGCCTTCACAACAATGCATGATTTTTTTATGACACTTCACAACTTCACGTCACATCTTTAACTGTCAATTGTATCAAAATTTAATGTATCCAAGAAATTTAAGGAATTGTGGTGAATCATGGTGAGTAATGACCTTGAGGTTGCTTATAAATCGGTAACCGTCTTATGATTGGTCGGAGGAGTCCGAGGAAGGGAGATGAAAGGCAGGTAGATAGAATGAGATCGGAGACATGCCGGTAACTGGTGTTGTAAGGCAGTAAACCGGATGTCAGTTGGTGTCTTGCCCTACGTCTCATCCTCGATCTGCTCAACCCCCTTCCTGACAATCTACTAGACAGGATGCTTTTGGTATGGGAGGAGGGGGGAGGTTCATCCGAAAGACGCGGAGCCGGATACTTGGGAGTTTTCGCATTCTGAAAGACCTGCGCGTTCGAGTCTGCCTCGTAGTTTACGCATTCAACAGATCGGCGTATTTCCCGTCATCTTTGAAATAAGCTCTTCATCTCCTTGCGTCTTTTCGCTAACTAATGTCACTGCATTAGAACATCCAGTAAAAAAAGGAGGAAGCGAAGGTGATTCAGTACTTCTTTCAGGCTTGTGATGCAAAAAAGAAAAGATTGATACATACGGCAATCGTTTTGACAAAAAAAGAAAAGAGCAAAGGCTGTCACCTGCCAACCGATGTGAGTGCTGTCATTTGTACCAATGGAATCATGACAGCAGAGTAGTCGTGATCTTGGTAAATCATCTATTTATTGTGGGACCTTCCCAGAGAAGTACGAAGTCTTTATGCCTCTCAAATGGATGCCTTCATGTCACACAGTAAGCATCTGATGACAGCAGTGTGTGTGTGAATTACTTTCGTTGCCCTTGAGTCACCCTCGTAGTTATTGATTCACCATAGGACCAGGCGGTGTAAAGTCGATTGACGGAGGGCTGTCAAATCCTGGACATTATTTACTTTTATACCGTAGCTTCTCCCTTGCGTTTTTGGGTGTCGGTCTTGACGTATGTCTTGCTCTTCTTCGGTTGGCATCACTGAAGTGAAGAGGGGCTCCGATTGTCAACGCGATGGTTCATCTCCTAGGCGTCGATAGGGTTTGCCTTTACATCACCTGGAATGGAAGTACAGCGCAAGGCTGAACGAGCCATTCACATCAAGAAATCATGCGGGTTTAAGGATTGGGCTATATCTTGCAGGTTCCATGCCATATTATCCCTTCAAGCCTTTCCTTTCTGAAGGCGAGATGATTTTTTCTACTGCACACTTTTCTTGGGAACAACTGTTTCGAGTTTGGTCCCTCCTACGCCTTTTCATCTGACCAGCATCTGTCTGGGCTATCTTCCACTGTTCGGTAACACGCGGGACCGCCGTTTCTTGTCACCTTACTAATTGGTCATTACTCTCAAGGAATCCGTGTTCGTGGGTTTTGATGACCCAACTTTTGCCATTCTGGGAGGCTTCCAGAGGATATTCACGCCAAGGATCCCGAAAACTAGGGCCTCAAATGACTCCATTAGGGACTCCTGATTCATTCTTCTATCTCTCATTAATTACTTTTACCTCTTCTCCCCACTTTAGATTACATTTTACCAACCAGTCAATTTCGTGAGAGTGGTGCAAGAACTTCTTGCCTGACTTTCACTCCCTCACAGTCTACGTCAGCTACGTGTACCTTGACTTTCATCATCACACCTCTCTCCTCTCCCCGCCTTACCTTCTTCTCTCTCAATGTTCAGCCTCCCTCCCCTCGTGTACGTTCGTCGGTGTTCACGTCTGTCCACAAACTAAACAGCTCAGCTATCCGAACATGGCTAACAGGTCTCAACTGTGATACATGTAACGTGTGTGCGGTCCCAACTCCAAAATCACTAACAACAGCATCCTTATGTTAGTTCTCCCTTCACAGTCAAATAATAAGGGGGTGTTGTCGAATACACGATCTACCAGTCATCAAAAGCGCGGTGACAAAGCACTGGGGTTGTTTGTAGTCAGAATACGGTATCCTCAAAGGAAGTTGATTGGCAATTAGAATAACAAAGCGATCGTAACTTTCACATTAAGAGACACATATTCGACTTTATCTGACTGTTAAATATAACTAAGTATCCTTTAAAAGCTGATGTTATTCGTAACCTAGTGGATTAGAAATTAACTTCCACTTGCCCTCGTTATTCGTAGTTAGGCGCTGTCGGGTTGATGTCATGCGATGAATTGTTGATTAATTGTTTGGGTGTGTTAGCGAGGCTTCTAAAATTTGCTTATCAACCTAAGATAGAGGAATTTAAAAGACTGCATTTTAGGTGCCCTCAGTCCGCAAACAACCAGAGCAACAAAAACTAGGGGCCTAATTTACTTCGTTCAAATGCCACAACATTTGTTTACATCGTTAAACAGAGTACTCACATTTCTGCTCAACTGGCACCTCTTCCGTGTTTCAGCCTTCACATTTTTTTCGAAAATGGGCTTTTGCAGTGTGAAGGCTACTTAGGGCTAAAAGCACAGTAAGCATTCTAGTTTATGATGCTGAAAGGGTGTGTGTCACTTTGAGGTGATACAAACGGACGAAGTTTCAAACTACCTAATTGATCCGCTGACATCAATAGCCGTTGTTGGGTCATGCTGAAAGAGAACTATCGTGTTCGTTTTCCCACCCTCTCATTCGAAAAAACCAAACTCGGCTAAGTGCCGTAAAATTGCTGTAAAGCACGTACTTTGCATATAAGGAAGGTTATTTTAGGCGGTGATGAACAGGGGCAAGCATTTGAGTTCATTTGTAAGTTGCAGGATCAGATTCTCGGTGTTTTCAAGAGAAGTGGATAATAAACCTTAAGTATGTTTACTCGCGTATCCTCACGTATGGACGTATGTGTTGTTTGTAGTTATTTGTGCGATAGACTATTCCGTATAAGCTACAGCTAATTCTGGGCCTGCGCTTTTAAGCATTTCCTAGCTTTTGGCACCACTCTTCCCTTAATGCGTCACTGAGATTCTCATTAAAGCGTTGAGTCAGCCTAGGGACAGAAAAAAACTTGTAACTAGACCGTTTAGTGCAGTGAATTTATTTGCAGTCGTGAGCATAGTGTTCTGTAAAACTGTTTGATCTGATGATGGTGGTGGCAGAGCAGGTGATACTAAAGAACTGCGTGCGAATTCTGAACCGCATGTAGTTACTCTCTCCCTCCTCACTTTACGTCAGTAGCTTTTTTAACACGACCGTTTGTTAGTGATCTAAGAGTGAGGATCTGTGTCTGTTATTCGTAATCAAAGCCGCCATTATTCACCAGGAAAAGGTGGGCGAGTCGACGACTGAGAAACTCCTCTATTAGTACTGCTATCGCAGTCTTAACATTATTGACCCGTTAATCGTTATTAATAGTATGACCTTTAACTAGGGTTGTAAAGGTATACTTGGCTTCCCCAGGCATCCCCCTTTGAAGGCAATTAGTTTCTAGTCAGGTAATTTGTCATTGAGAAAAGCAAGCACTGAATGCGACTGTAAATTCCACACAGCAGTTGTTGCCCACTTTTGCCTCCTCATTTCCCCATTTTCTAAATTCGGTTGCCTTCCGCCAAGTCGCTGACGTCTTTATCGCGAGAGCATTTGTCGGTTCGCTATTGGTCACGTTTTGGTTTATTAACAAGCCCCCGCTTCGTCGGTATTGCTGCTACTATTGGTCACCTGACTAGCCACGACAAATACAATGAATGCAGCCCCCCAACTTGACTGCTCTAAATTGCTACTCTGTTCCATGCCCCACCCGCGTTGTGCGTACAAGCTGGCGAGACCAAGTCTCTTCCAATCCTACACTTGACCGCATACTTCGGCTTTAGTGATTGTGTCGGGGTTAGCGATATTGAGGTGATGTTCTGCAAAGACGCAGCTGCTACACATGAGGAAGTAGTCGATCCCACCGAGAAAAGTGTGCACTTTCTCCCCCCTCTTCCTGCCCCTCCTCATAGATGTCATATGAAAGGAAATATTCTCAAGCATTCCTGTCAATCCCATTTCAGAAAAAAAAATCGCTTTACCCCCACATCCCTGCTATAAGAAGTCAGGTCCATGGTAATCGAGTGGAGTAACCTAATTAGCCATTGGTAAGAAGGTCAGTTTGCTAATGGGACGAAAAGCAGTTTGAATAAACGTGTTATTTACTATGTAGCGTCGGGAGACTTTCCTGAAGACAAAAGAAGACACAATACTTAGGCAGAATATATGTATTCAGCATAGAGAAGGTGTCTGGGCTACTGGCATGGCCCAAAGGCCAGCCCACCCAGCGGGGCACAATGGCCAAGTCAGAAGCGGCTCTTCACCAGTACCGAGGGATAAACAACCATCGTATTACAATTAATTTTCTCCTAACCCCTTACATCAGGGTGAGAGTTTTAAATGGCATCGCACCAACGGACTGACTCCCTTCCGAGGAGCAATTGCAGCTCGTATATGACAGAGTTTTTAAAACTCATTTTGGAAAATCGAAAAACCAAGTCGTTTCTGGATGCATTTAACTTTTTATGGACAGTGTAGTCAAGTCTTTCCTCAATTGTCGCGAAAAGTTCCCACGCTTCTTCTCACCTGCCACTCATTGAAAACTAGAAGTCTATAGGTCAGTGGACGCAAAAAACGTCAAAGAATATGAAAGTAATTACAGAGTTATTTGTCGTCTGTGGTATGGTTTCAAGAGGGGCAGACGACAACGCCAGTGGTTTTTATCCAAAGATGCCCTTATCCGGCGCCGCCTCTGCTCCCGACCCGTATATCCGCAACTAGATAATGCGGTCAGCCCCATGGGGGAAGTATTCTTTGCATTGATCAGTTTCTCATTGTCATTCACGAGTTTAGGGAGTAAGACGTGGTGTTCGTGAACCCTCAATTATGAATTGCCTCCGATTTGGGGATCCACGGCAGATGCTTCCTTTAGTCGACAATCTACCTAACAAAATTAGAACTGGTGTGGTGTGGAATTCTTCCTGAAAATGGTGTAAGACACCTAGAGAATTGCAGAAGACCGCAGACGCCAGAGTACCTGTACAAACAAACCTACGTTTTGCATGAAGACAATGAGGCTTTATCTAGACTCACCTCCACTCCAGCTTATTTAACATCACCGATTAATCCAAGCGATGACACATGGGCAAAACTGTCATTTTCTACTTGAAATGCTCCAACAGAATGCCACATGTCCGAATTGTGTGTTTATACAGGCGGACTCTTCAATCTTAGCAGATTTTGTCCACCATCTCAAAGTTATGAATTTACGATTGGGTCAGTCCTATTATCATATCACCGAAAAACGGCTTCTCTCAAGCATTTGTACGCTTACCAACGAATCTGTGGATCCATCGGAACCCTTGAGATGCATCACTGTCTCCCTGTCTTTACAGAACTCTTAAATTGCTTGGTCAGCGTTCCTGACTTTGCAATGACTGAAGCAGAAGGATGATCATGGGCAGCTCGATTAGGATAGTTCGGCTACACCCGCGCAGGTTTAGATAATCGTCCTCGTGGGGAGGCGAGGCGAAATATGTACAGCAGAGTTGCACACTCAGGAAGGATGAAGAGAGGTTGCTATGTGTGGTCGGAAGATTGGAGTTCAGACAATTTCATCGACCTCAGCTGTGGTTTGATGAGCATCAGAAGACCGGGAAAGAGTAGAGAAATGCTTATCTAATTCGGTTTTCTACTTAATTAAACCACTGGTATCAGTAAATCATTTATGTTTTGCCTCGATGGCGTGTTGTAACTTGTAGGAACTCGCCAAATGCACATAGTCGTTTATAAACACGCATTATGGAAAAGAGAGATGCGTCAGTCAGTGGAGGCGGATAGTTTCGACTTCTTCCTCCGCTTAAATTCCCAGATCATACCACGCGGATTGAACACGGCATACTAATGAATCAAGTTTGACTCGACTAGTGGAGTATCTAGCCAGATTTGCTGTATAGTGACTGGAAACGATGTGGTAGGAGAGAGTACCGCCCATTCGAAGGTATATGTCTCAGGCTAAATACAACCCTCTACTCCCGATCAGATTAGACGATTTCGCGTTACTATTGGTTAAAATAGCTCAAGGTCAACTTGTGAAGCATAATTTCCAGTCATGCAGAAGCAACTGAGGAGCGAAAGTCCCGGAAGCCAAGCACACGTGTTCTACGAATCATATATTGTAGATGACAATTGCTTCCAAGGACTAGTAACTTGTTCTTCATTTTTTAATGCCTTTTTTGGATTGGTTGCTGACTGACTGGCTAAGCGCGTGACTGAGTAGCTGAGCTGGCTAACACCATTAATCGCCTACGAAGATAAAAACACTGAAGCACAACTTCCTTGCCATGCGACAGCGCCTGCCTCGTGTGTGTATTGGACTGCAGAGAGAGAAGCCTGAGGTTTAAATCCATCTACTCGATACAGCATAACCCGTAAACAACGCGGCAAAACTTCTCTGTTGGAAGAAGCCAGGACTAATTAATCGAGTAGGAGGAGCGCCTTTTGCTTATAGGATAGTACAAGGCGATCTCACAACTTGTACTGTAAATCTCAACCCTCCCTGAGGATCAAAAGGAGGCACTGCATTTTGTAGTAAACGGCCGCATGATCACCCACGTAGTAGGACAGACACTTGAGGCATGAAATTACTGTCTAGATCTAGGTTTAGTTGTTTACCAGTAAAGACAGGGAATACGTTTCATAAAGGCAGAAATCACAAACGCCTTGCGCCTAGTTGGGAAGATACGGGAAACTGACGAAACTTCCTGAAGTCATTGCCCTACTTCCGTTTTCTCTAAAAGCTCTACAAACTTGTTTGACCACCATATTAGATTAGTTAAGCAGGCCGTGACTGATGGCATTTCTGGCTTTCATACTATAGTTGCGCTATTTATGAACGGCGAGCGCCCATCCTCAGGCGATTGGCCATTATGTGCCTATTACGCCTCCAGAGAGGGGTAACCTTTCCCACCTTCCCATTGAAAGGAGTCAGCTCTAGTAAATGTCTCCAGCCTAAAAAATGAGGTCGAAACAATTGATGAGGACAGTGAGATTTTCTGAAACTCGACCACCATCCTGAGAATCAAGATACTCCGTCCAGCCCTCAGATACTCAGCTTTCTTCCGTATAGGTGTCCTGCAACGCACCCGGAGATGGCTTGATATTCTGCTTTGGTGACAGCGCTAATCAAACCCCACCCAAATGAGCAAGAACCACAACTTTTGCGGACCGGTTGCCAAACCTTAAAACCACGGCGGGAGGAGAGGTTCTAGGTAGAGCTACATCAGAACCGACAAACGCTCACAGACTTTTGGCATCAGCCCCAATATCAAGCCTTGTATAATGACGGGTAATAAAGCGTAGACAGGCCTCAAAGTACAAATTACTACCCCTTTGTGCACAGGGCTTGGCGTTACTACCTGGGGTAACACTCCCTTTGGGGGAGGGGGAGCTCTTCCTAAAAGAAGAGATTGGTACAAGGCTCAGGCTAGCCTCAAAATCTCGCTCAGCTTTTACACCACTTCTAAATAAGTTGTTCCATAGTATTAGCCTTTTAGGGAGTGCGATATTTACGTACCCCACTATGTATACCCCAATGGGGATCCTCGCCTTGATACAAGCCTATCACATCGACTTCGTTCCTGTCGTGGAATACCACACTCGAGACAGAAGCCCAGCCATGCTGAGGGTTGAGGACAAAGACCAAAAAATAAAAAGGGCTATCTGAAGAGGCTGTTTGTCAAACTACGAGGCAACCTCAGCCTCTGCAATCGCCTGCCCATTTCAGGCGTCATGGTGAGGAATTCTTCGATAGGGTAGCATTAATCCTACTTCGACACTGGTGCAACGAATAGCTGGAAGTCTTCTTTTTCTACATCATTAAACAATTCACCGAAACCTGTAAATCACGCCCGATACCTGTAAACCGAGAAAAGACGTACCTCTATTAGCAGTTGTAAACACACAACAAGAAATGCCAGTATTAGCTTTTGGCTTTTGTCCAGTTTATGCCAACTTGAAAAAGTCCTTCCACTTCCGAAGCAATATTTTGCTAGTATTTGCATTTCATCCTGCACGAAAACATGCGATGAGCTGTGATTAGTTTATGCAACAATAGTGAAGGCTTGTGCGAATGAAATTGCAAAAAAACATTCCTTTATTATTTATGAATAAGTGTAAAGTGTGGGGCGTACTGTCATGCAATATGCTATTTTGCAGGGTCTTGAAAGGGGAAGCTGTATGCACTTCCAACTGCTACGCAGGCAGAAGGACTAGGCGAAATCATAAGTAAAGAGGCTGCAATTTTATCTCAATGCTTTCCAGTGAACCCTGTACTTATTCAAAAAGCAGTCCATCTAACAAGGTACGCATGTGTAGCGTCCCGGGACTCCCTGAAGACGAAAGAAGACACAATACTCGGGCAGAATGTATATATTCAGCACGGAGGTGTCCGGGCTATTGGCATGGCCCCAAAAGGCCAGCCCACCCAGCGAGGTACAAGGGGCTAATTCAAAGTACAAAAGTGGCGCCTCACCAGAACCGAGGGATAAACCACTATCGTATTACACATGTGATGCATGGAATCGCATTGAAACCCGCACAAGTTATGCGTCGCAACCACTACTAATCAAACTCAGGAGTCTTCTCATGGCAATGCAAACCTTTTAAAGAGCAACATATGTATTCTTGAATCTCTGGTAGGTAAATAATTAAAGTAGATCCGCTAACTATTGCTAGAGTTGTTGCTGATGCCATCACGGTAAAGAAGTTTAAGTGATAAAAGCTGGAAGTCTAAGGGTGCGGCCTAAAGCAAGCAGACAATAGCTGCTGTCATTAAAGGTGTTTGGTCAAAGCGCGATTAACACTGCAGGAAATATTCTGACCGAATGCATAATGGCTCGAATGATAGCATCAGCCTTACAGTACTGTAATACGATGGTGGTTTATCTCTCGGTATTGGTGAGGCGCCACTTTTGTACTTTGGATTAGCCTTTTTGTACCTCACTGGGTGGGCTGGCCTTTGGGCCATGCCAGTAGCCCAGACACCTTCTCTGTGCTGAATACATATATTCTGCCCGAGTATTGTGTCTTCTTTCGTCTTCAGGGAAGTCTCGGGACGCTACGTTAGCAGCAGCGGAAAGCGAACCCGATCTTAAAGGACATGTATCCTGGTTTCCCACTTCTGCGTGGTAAACCTTAGCGGAGCGAAAGAAGTACATAGGCTACGGATGGGAGAATGATGATGACGTCTACCTTCGGCATCTATCCCAGTCCCGTGTTCTGCAGGAAAGCTATTAACAATAAAAGCGACAGTAGCCGCGAACCATCTGGGTGTTTCGTTACAGACTTGCTCTACCGTCCCTCATATACCTGTATTAAATCCCGTCCTTCCTTACACAAAGTTACTTTGGTCCAGTGTTTCTACATCCATCAATGGACATATGATGGCCAGCGCAATACCCCGTCCTGAATTAGGGTCTCAAACCAGACAAAACTCCAGATCCAGTTAAGCTGCCAAGAGGGATCAGTGACGTTGAGGCCAAGTATCTCCTCAATTGCACGCTAATTTGGTGGCTGGCACGGTCGGGTCGCGGGTGTTTTTTTTACAGCACCGACTACGTTGTAGTGGCTGACGCGGGAGGTCGACCTGCGGGAGCGCCGGGGACGACGCTCAAAAGAGGAGGTAGGCTAT